GTGGATCACTTGAGGCCAGGAGTTCAAGACCAGCCTGGCCAACATGGTGAAACCCCACGAAACCCTGTCTCTACTTAAAAAAATACAAAATTAGCTGGGTGTGGTGGCACACGCCTGTAATCCCAGCTACTTGGAGGGCTGAGGCAGGAGGATTGCGTGAACCCAGGAGACAGAGGTTGCAGTGAGCCGAGATCACACCACGACACTCCAGCTTGGGTGACAGAGTGAGACTCCGTCTCAAAAACAAAACAAAACAAAAACCCCAAAATATGGTATATACATGCAAGGGAATATTATTCACCCTTAAGGAAGGGAATTCTGATACATGCGGCATTGAGGAAACTTGAAGACAGCATGCTAAGTCAAAGAATCCAGACACAAAAGGACAAATGTATGATTCTACTTATGTGAGATACCTATAATAGTCAAATTCATAGAGAAAGAAAGTAGAATACCCGTTACAAGAAGCTGGAGAGAAGGGGAAATGGGGAGTTAATGCTTAACAGATGCAGAGTTTGTGTTGGGGATGATGAAAAAATTCTGGAGCAGGATAGTGGTGATTGATGGTTGCACACAGTGTGAATGTACTAAGTGCCATTCAGTGGCACACTTATAAATGGGTAACATGGTAGATTTTAGGTTATACATCTATAACCACAATTTTAAAAATCTCAGTTCTTTCTCTCTCTCTTTTTTTTTTTTTTACTTTTATTTTAGAAATGGGGTCTTGCTCCGTTGCCTAGGCTGGTCTTGAACTCCTGGGCTCTGGGCTCAACCAATCCTCCTACCTCAGCCTCCCAAAGTGCTGGGATTATAGATATGAGCTACTGCGCCCAGCCTCAGTTCTCAGTGACACCAACCCATTACTCATTTGCTTTATCTCACACTGTATACAAAACAGTTTCAGAATAATGATACCAACTCTACCTCCATAATGATTTTTTTTCTTTTTCTTTTTTTCTTTTTCATAAAACTTATGACTCAACATAATATGACTTCTGAAAATATATTTTTGTAGTTCTTGTCCTTAGGTTATAGCCCACTAGGGATGATAGTCAGATAACTTTGTTTTGAATCTCTTTGAATAGTTAATCTCCATAAAGTTATACCAGCAAATTAATACATAGTTTTATTTTCCATTTTTAGGAATTGCTTTTTGAAGTTTTATTTTTCTTCATAATGATGTGAGATATTATATCGTTCCAAAGTCAAATCTATATAACAAGTTATGTTAAAAGAAGTCTTACTTCTATCCCTGTCCTCTCCAACCTGCTGTCTCCCTCCCCCTATAGGTAACTAATTTTTTTTTGAGATGGGATCTTGTTTTGTTGCCCAGGCTGGGGCAATAGTGCAATCATAGTTTACTGTAGCCCCAAACTTCAGGGCCCAAGGGATCCTCACCCTTCAGTCTTCAGAGGAGACTGAGGCCTGACACTACGGGCACTCACTACAACACCCCACTAATTATTTATATTTATATTTATATTTATTTTTATTTTTTGAGATGGAGTCTTGCTCTGTCGCCCAGGCTGAAGTGCAGTGGCGTGATATTGGCTCACTGCACGCTCCGCCTCCCAGGTTCATGCCATTCTCCTGCCTCAGCCTCCTGAGTAGCTGGGACTACAGGTGCCCACCACCACTCCCGACTATTTTTTAATATTTTTGGCAGAGACGGAGTTTCATCATGTTAGCCAGGATGGTCTCGATCTCCTGACCTCGTGATCTGCCTGCCTCGGCCTTCCAAAGTGCTGGGATTACAGGCATGAGCCACTGTGCCCAGCCCACTGTTTTCTATTTCATCATGTGTTTTCTTCCTTCTCCTTCTTTTTTCTTTTTTTTTAGATGGAGTCTCACTCTGTGGCCCAGGCAGGAGCGCAGTGGCATGATCTTGTCTCATTGCAACCTCCTCCTCCTGAGTTCAAGCAATAATCGCTCCTGCCTCAGCCTCCCAAGTAGCTGGGATTACAGGCGTGCACCACCGCGCCCAGCTAATTTTTGTATTTTTAGTAGAGGTGGGGTTTCACCATGTTGACTAGGCTGGTCTTGAACTCCCGACCTCAGGTGATCTGCCTGCCTCAGCGTCCAAAAGTGCTGGGATTACAGGTGTGAGTCATCACACTCAGCCTCTTCTTTCTTCTTAAAAAATGTATTTTATATCTAGAGTTTCTTAGATAAATTGTAGTATGAGGATGTCTTCTGATGAACAGAAATCCTGAGTTTTAATATGGTAAAATTATTCAATGTTAAATGAATTTTTGTGGGCTGCACCTGGCCTACAGTTTATTAATCGATTCGCGTTAGTCCGGGGTCTCCAGAACAGAACCAAACAGGTATAGACATATAAGAGGCGATTTATTATGGGAATTGGTTGACAAGTTTATGGAGGCTGAGAAGCCCCACAATCTGCCACCTACATGAGCCACCACGCCTAGCCTCCCCCAAAACATTTTTGAAAAAGAACAAAGTTAGAGAAATTTCATTATTTAATTTCAAAATTTATTTAAAAGCTAAATGTGGTTGGGCGTGGTGGCTTATGCCTGTAATCCTAGCACTTTGGGAGGCAGAGGCAGGCGGATCACCTGAGGTCAGGAGTTTGAGACCAGCCCGGCCGACATGGTGAAACCCCGTCTCTACTAAAAATACAAAAATTAGATGGGTGTGGTGGCACATGCCTGTAATTCCAGCTACCTGGGAGGCTGAGGCAGGATAATTGCTGGAACCCAGGAGGCAGAGGTTGCAGTGAGCTGAAATTGGGCCATTGCACTCCAGCCTGGGCAACAGAGTGAGATTCCATCTTAAAAACAAAACAAAACAAAAAACAAAGGCCGTGAGCGGTGTCTCACATCTGTAATCTCAACACTTTGGGAGACCAAGGTGATTAGATCACCTAAGGTCAGGAGTTCAAGACAAGTCTGGCCAACACGGTGAAACCCTGTCTCTACTAAAAATACAAAAAGATTAGCTGGGTGTGGTGGTGTGTGCCTGTAATCCCAGCTACTTGGGAGGCTGAGGCAGGAGAATCGCTTGAGCCCAGGAGGCGGAGGTTGCAGTGAGCAGAGATTGCACCACTGCACTCCAGCCTGGGTAACAGAGTGAGACTCCGTCTCAAAAAAAAAAAAAAAAAAGATAAATGTTGGACTTTTTTTTCTTCCTTTTTTTTTGTTTGAGATGGAGTCTCCCTCTGTCACCCAGGCTAGAGTGCAGTGGTACAATCTTGGCTCACTGCAACCTCCCGGGTTCAAGTGATTCTCCTGCCTCACCCTTCCAAGTAACTAGGACTGTAGGCACATGCCACCACACTCGGCTAATTTTTGTATTTTTTAGTAGAGATGAGGTTTCACCATGGTGGCCAGACGGGTCTCAAACTCCTGACCTCAAGTGACCCACCTGCCTCGGCCTCCCAAAGTGTTGGGATTATAGATATGAGCCACCATGCCCAGCCAAATATTGGGCTTGATTAAAGGAGGTTTTACTGACAGTAACAAAACAAAACAAACAAAACTAAGAAAATAACACTGGCTCGGTGTGGTGGCACATGCCTATAATCCCAGCACTTTGGGAGGCCGAGACAGGAGGATTAACCTGGACGATATTCTGAGACCTCGTCTCCACAAAAAATTTGAAACACTAGCTGAGTCTCGTGGTCTACAAAAAATACTGAACTTAGCTGCGTGTGGTGTCACACATCTGTAGTCCCAGCTAGTTGGGATGAAGGCACTCTTTATTGCAGAAACTCCGTCTGTTTACATTTCTAGCAATGTTTCCTAGCCAGTCCTGGAGTGAGAACAAATTCTTCCCTCCATTCACCGCTCCTTCCCTATTTCTCTTAATTGATTTTTAACAAGGTTTCCAAGGAAACCTTAGTGGGGGAAAGTTTAATCTTTTTAAGAAATGGTGCTGGAACAATAGGGAAAAATAAAGAAGCTCGGTCTTTCCCTTATGCCATATACAGGAAGTTGTTTCTTGTTTCTGCTGATACCCACTCATGGTCATTTACCTTCATGGGTTTGGTGGGTGGTTGTGAGGTCAAATAACAGTTCTGTGGGTTCACCTTGGGAACACTTCCTTCCACGGAGGGCTTGTTTCTGCTTCTGCTCCATCTTCTGCCATTAGGACTGGTAAGGTGAGGAGGTATGGGAGCACTGAATCCATTTTGGAACTAATTTGGCCTCTCTTGTGAGTTTATCTCTAAATAAGAGTCTCAAAGTCAGCATTTCATCATTGTTCTTGTTCTGGGAATTTATAAACATTGGCCTGAGGTTAACTACATTTGCTCTTTTTTTTTTTTTTTTTTGAGACAGAGCCTCACTCTGTCACCCAGGCTCGAGTGCAGTAGCATGATCTCCTCCGTTCACTGCAACCTCCACCTCCTGGGTTCAAGTGATTCCCCTGCCTCAGCCACCTGAGTAGCTGGAATTACAGGTATGCGCCACCATGCCCGGCTAATTTTTTGTTGTCGTTGTTGTTTTGTTTTGTTTGTTTTTGAGACAGAGTCTTGCGCCGTAGCCCAGGCTGGAGTGCAATGGCACGATCTCGCTCACTGCTACGTCTGCCTCCCAAGTAGCTGATTACAGGCACGCGCCACCATGCCCAGCTAATTTTTTTGTATTATTGGTAGAGAAGGGGTTTCACCATGTTGGCCAGGCTGGTCTTGAACTCCTAACCTTGTGATCCACCCACCTCGGCCTCCCAAAGTGCTGGGATTACAGGCATGAGCCACCGCACCAGGCCAACCTGGCTACTTTTTGTATTTTTAGTAGAGACAAAGTTTCACCATGTTGGCCAAGCTAGTCTGGAACTCCTGACCTCAGGTGGTCTGCCCACCTCAGTCTCCCAAAATGCTAGGATTACAGGCGTGAGCCAATGTGCCCGGCCCATTTGCTACATTTTTAAAAATTGGTGAGCCAGCCATAGTGGCTCACACCTGTAATCCTGTAACTGAAACACAGGTTCAGTTGCTCATTTGCTTGCAGAGTCCAATTAATAAGAGTGAGGTCTGGTATAAAGAAACTGACTTTTTATTCCAAAGCCTGCTAGGGCAAGAAGTACAGGCTTCCTGCCTTAAGGGGACCACTTTGCCTCCAAAGCAGAAAGCGGGTGCTTTTAAAGTGGGGGGTGCTGGTATGCTGGCATGAAAGGCATGCAGGGGAGGAAGCAAACAAGTGGGGGTTCACATACTCGCTTCAGTGCCTTATCTACCAGGTGGTCAAGCTGGTGGCTGCTGGTGCCTTCGTGGGCAGGACTAGGTTGTAAAAGTGTCCCAGAACTCTCCCAATGAGAGAGATTTTTGTAGTAGGCATACTTTGGGTTGTAGGTGGACTATTGTTGTAATGTAGGTTCTTGAGGCAACCTCCTGGTGGGAGAGAGTTTCATAGCGGGTACACTTTGGTTTGTAAATTGACTGTTATCTGTTGAGGCAGTCCCTGGTGGGATAGAGTTCTGCCCTGGAGCTTCTAAGCACCTAGTTAGATGAACTTGTCCCTAGGGAGTGTGTGGTGAAGTGGAGGTAAAAGCTTATGATTGCATTTCTAAAGGGCTACATAGGAAGTGGGGAATGGGGGAAATGGAGAAAACAGAAAATAAGAGAAAATAATTTAAAAAACATAGTAGTAATTCCTTATCTTTTTCTTTGAAAACTGGGAGTACTTGGTTACAATTCCCCACCGTCAAGTTCTGTTCCATTTCTTTGGGATTTGAATACTATATTCATTCTGGCTACTTCTGGCTGAAAGGGGTTGTAGGTCATTGGGTGTCAAAGAGGAAATGATCTAGTTGAAGTTGGAAATCTTCACAAGTGCCCAGTCTTACAGATGATATTTGTTGGAACATTATGGTGCAAGGTGTGGAAATTCTCTGGGAAACCCTGTCATGCAGTCTCATACAGAGGATACAACAGCAGTAAAATCCACATTGGAGAAGTCTACCTGTTTTTGCAACTAGAGCTAGAGTAGTAAGTAGCTTCCATCACCAAGACGGTCCTGACCCGAGCCAGAATGCCATCCATGGATCTAGCGACCATGTGGGGGCAGACATAGTTTTGACTTGCTGGTGCATATCTTGCAGGGCTGAGACATTTCCCAGATTATCTGGAATGTATACACAGCAGTTAGTCTTAATTAAAAGGCAGGTTCCCCACTGTCCATCGTAACTAGATATGATAACAGGTTGGCTAAATATGGATTTAACAGGTTATTGGAAGAGCTATAAACACTCATGAAGGTGATCATAAGTCCCGTCTAGTTCTTGAGAATGGATCAGTTTGGTTAAATAGTTGCATCCCATCCAGGAGGTGGCATTGCAGATGGGCTAGGCATTTACATGTGATGAAAGCAAACTTATGAAAAAGATTTTTCATAAGAGGCATTTCTGGCCAGGTGCAGTGGCTCATGCCTGTAATCCCAGCACTTTGGGAGGCCGAAGCATGTGGATCACAAGGTCAGGAGTTCGAGACCAGCCTGGCCAATATGGTGAAATCCTGTCTCTACCAAAAATACAAAAATTAGCCAGGTGTGGTGGCAGGCACCTGTAGTTCCAGCTACTTGGGAGGCTGAGGCAGGAGAATCACTTGAACTCGAGAAGCAGAGGTTGCAGTGAGCTGAGATCAAGCCACTGCACTCCAGCCTGGGTGACAGAGTGAGATTTTGTCTCAAAAAAAAAAAAAAAGGCATTTCTATGGAAACAGAAGAAAAAGAAAGGTTAATTTTGGGCAAAATTTATCCAGATGTTAGATTCAAAGCCTCTTTAATCACAGAGGAGGAAGGGGGTAGCCATCTGATGTGTTTTTCTCACCTGTATTACAAGGAATAATGTAATATTAATTTCATTGAGTTCAAATCAGAACAATGGAAGAATAATTTGAAAGCATTAATTTAATAATCTGTAGCCTGGAAAAGTAATCCAAGTTGTGGAAAATTATAAAAACTCAAAAAACAAAAAAAAAAAAAACAAAAAACAGACAAGACTAGAATCTAACAACAGGTTTACTATAATTTTTTTTTTTTTTTTTTTTGTTTTGGAGACAGAGTATCGCTCTGTTGCCCAGGCTGGAGTGCAGTGGCACAATCTTGGCTCACTGCAGGCTCTGCTTCCCAGGTTCAAGTGATTCTCGTGCCTCAGCCTTCCGAGTAGCTGGGATTACAAGCATGTGCTACCACACCCACCGAATTTTTTGTATTTTTACTAGGGACTAGGTTTTGCCATGTTGGCCAGGCTGGTCTCGAACTCCTGGCCTCAAGTGATCTGCCTGCCTTAGTCTTCCAAACTGCTGGGATTACAGGTGTGAGCCACTGCTCCCGGCCTATAGTTTTTTTTCCAAAACATAATATTTATCTCTCTAATCCCAATTTTGCTAAAGACAAATCATAGTAGGACAAATTTATTTGCAAAATAAGTTTTAATCTTATTTTGCACAGCATTTTAACTTCAGACCTCTTGTTTGATGGAGAGACACATAGAATGCCCACTCATATTATCAATTAGGCCAGGTTCAAAAGTCCTTCAAAGTATGGAAACAAAATATTGCCTCCTTCCATAAGAGAAAGAATTACTCCCACCCCTTCAACCGGGAGGCTTAGTCTTACTAAAAATGTGGAAAGAAGGAAGCCCTAAGGATCAATTACAACCAAAATGGAAGGGCCCCTGCTGGGTGCGGTGGCTCACACCTGTGTGAGCCGAGATCATGCCACTGCACTCCAGCCTGGGTGACAAGAGTAAAACTCCGTCTAAAAAAAAAAAAAAAAAGGAAGAGCCCCTATCGGGTGTTGCTGAGTATTCCCACTGCTGCTAAACTTCCAGCATTAAACCTGTTTCTTTCTTTCCTTTTTTTTTTTTTTTTTTGAGGAGTCTCGCTTTGTCGCTCAGGCTGGAATGCAGTGGTGCGATCTCAGCTCTCTGCAACCGCCGCCTCCCGGGTTCAAGCAATTCTCCTGCCTCAGCCTCCCAAATAGCTGGGATTACAGGCATGTGTCACCACGACTGGCTAATTTTTGTATTTTTAGTAGAGACAGGGTTTCACCATGTCGGCCAGGCTGGTCTCGAACTCCTGACCTTAAATGATTCGGCTGTCTCGGCCTCCCAAAGTGCTGGGATTACAGGCATGAGCCACCATGCCTGACCTAAACTTGTTCCTTATGAGTTGCAGACACAAAAGGACACTATGACCTACATCTGTGAACCTATGCCACCTGTTTAAAATAATCAACATTCAGCCGGGTGCAGTGGCTCACACCTGTAATCCCAGCACTTTAAGAGGCTAAGGTGGGCAGATCATCTGAGGTAAAGGGTTCAAGACCAGCCTGGCCAACATGGTGAAACCCCATCTCTACTAAAAATACAAAAATTATCTGGGTGTGGTGGCAGGTGCCTGTAATCCCAGCTACTCGGGAAGCTTTGGCAGGAGAATTGCTTGAACCCGGGACGCAGATGTTGCAGTGAGCCGAGATCATGCTACTGCACTCCAGCCTGGGTGACAGAGCGAGACTCCATCCCCCTCCCCCAAAAAATGGAAAAAAAAGAAAAAAGAATCAACACTCAGCCAGAAATGGTAATGTGATGCTGTGGGTGGAAATAGGAGCATTCATTTTTCTCTTCTTCCTGACTGTAATACTTCTTTTCTACTGCTTTTGCCAACTGCCTCCTCCTAGGAAACACCTATTTTGTCTTCATTGGGTGTTAGACACTACTCTAAGGCTTTGATCTCCTAGTTACCCTGATTGACTGTGGCTGGGACCAAAACTCCATAGTAAATATTTCAACAGTTATAGCATCAGGGAATCATCTTCACAGTTTATGGATGTGTCATCAATATCCCCAGGAGAGAGAGTTGTACCTTCTGTACCATCCAGAAAATCTCACTGTCATCTCCCTAGGCTTCCTGACTAACCACAGCAATCCTAAGGTACCCAGAACCCCAACTTGTTAGGTGGACCTCTCCCCCACTTGACAGATTTCACCTGAATCCCCCTACCACTGTTGCCTGGACCTGGGAAGTTGGGTGTCTTTATCTCCAGTGCACTCATGATTCTGTCTTTTGCACTCACTGTTGTGTTAATGACATAAAAGCAGAAGTTTCCCTGCAATGCTCTGATCCAACTGTAGTTGCCAAGTTCCCAAGGCCTCAGTGAGATAAATGGGATTCCACTTGTAAGTGAGGAAACCATATATGGTGCCTTCTCTCAGATGAGACCACACAGGGCAAAAGCAACTGCCTACTCTAGGAAGGGGGAGTACTGGCCGGGCGCGGTGGCTCACGCCTGTAATCCCAGCACTTTGGGAGGCTGAGGTGGGCGGATCACGAGGTCAGGAATTTGAGACCATCCTGGCTAACGGTGAAACCCCATCTCTACTAAAATACAAAAAATTAGACAGGCGTGCTAGTGTGCGCCTGTAATCCCAGCTGCTCAGGAGGCTGAGGCAGGGGAATCGCTTGAACCTGGGAGGCGGAGGTTGCAGTAAGCTGAGATCGTGCCACTACACTCCAGCTTGGCAACATAGCAAGACTCCGTCTCAAAAAATAATAATAATAATTAATAAATAAATAAGAGGGGAGTACTGCCCTTTCCGGAAAACAGAAATTTTTTGGCCACTCCTATCGCAGCAGACGAACATCCCTATAGACCCACTGGGCAGCAAAGGATTAACCTCACACCCCATAGGGCTTCTGTTTGTGACCCAACTGGTTTCATTTTTGTGTGTCAATGACTGGGAAGAAGTCAATCCTGTAACCACTCCTGATTCCCAGGGAGTCATCTGTTCTTTTAGGAGTAGCTTTCCCTTGTATATCAAAAACTTGGAGGAGAGATGAATGTATGTTGGCGCCCCCTGCCCCTCCAGGGGTCACAGTCTATAGGCCCCCGAGACCTAGGAACACCGGAAATAAATGAGCATAGGATGAATTCTGGTAGGAATCGGGCGGCAATATGACTAGTGGCACCCCGGGGCAGCTTTGCCTACCACGAGTCAACCCTAAAGAACTTGACTCAGGCCGGGCGCGGTGGCTCACGCCTGTAATCCCAGCACTTTGGGAGGCCAAGGCGGGCAGATCACGAGGTCAGGAGATCGAGACCATCCTGACCAACACGGTGGAACCCCGTTTCTACTAAAAATACAAAAAAATTAGCCGGGTATGGTGGTGGGCGCCTGTAGTCCCAGCTACTCGTGAGGCTGAGGCAGGAGAATGGCGTGAACCTGGAAGGTGGAGATTGCAGTGAGTGAGATCGCGCCACTGCGCTCCAGCCTGGTGGCACAGTGAGACTCTGTCTCAAAAATAATAATAATAATAATAATTAATTTTAAAAAATTTTGGTAAAGCAGTGTCTATGGCAGTTTGGTTTTTAAAAACACCTCTTTTGCCCATTTTTCCTTCAGTTTCAAATTTGTTTCCAGTGTTCACATTCTAGCTAGTCCGCAAACAATGAGTCTTATCTCAGCACAGGCAGCTTAGTAACAGCAGACGTGAAGAAGGCAGAAAAGAAGAGAGAGAAAGCCAAGCTGGCAGGCCTCTGCATAGGAGCTGGGATTCACAAGCGGGGCGCGAGAAAGAAAGGAGAGGAAGAAAAACAGGTAAAGTGACCAAAAAGAAACTCACGAGCCTTCCAGCCACAGTTACTAGACTTTGGCTCAGCCTTTCGGGAGCGCCTCACTTCTCACTCCCTGGACAGGAAGCACAGCAGGTTTATCCAGATGAACTGAGAAGGTCAGGTGCTGTGAGGAGGGGCAGGGAGATGGCCGTCCAGAATACCACTGCCCCCCAACCCCGGGGCTGAGATGAGTGAAGATGTTCCTCTGTTTGGGACCAGGAGGCGTGTGTTCAGGAATGCTACCTGGCACCTGGCTGGAAAAGAAAAGCCAGTTCCCTGTAAGGAGTGTTCCCAGTGTTCCGTCTACGATGGCCTTGTTATTTTATTACCTTTAGAAAGTAAGTCCTGTTCTTGTTACAACAGTCACACTGCTGGGAAGTGGCTAAATAGTAATACTGACAAATAGATGAGGCCGGGCAAGGTGGCTCACGCCTGTAATCCCAGGGCTTTGGGAGGCCGAGGAGGGTGGATCACCTGAGGTCAGGAGTTCGAGACCAGGCTGGCCAGCATGGTGAGTCCCTGTCTCTACTAAAAATACAAAAATGTATTGGTATGGTGGTGCATGCCTGTAATCCCAGCTACTCAGGAGGCTGAGATGGGAGAATTGCTTGAATCTAGGAGGTGGAGGTTGCAGTGAGCCAAGATCGTGCCACTGCATTCCAGCCTGGGTGACAGAGTAAGACTCTGTCTCAAAAAAAAAAAAAAAAAAAAAAAAAAAAAAAAAAAATGGTGAGTCTTCTTGGAAAACAAAACAAAACAAACAAAACAAAACAAAAACCCCACCATTCTTGTTTGTCTTCCATCAGGGAGAGTCTCAGTAGCCCATGTGGGCAGCTCTCCTGGATAGTCAGGAGGGTGAAATTGAAGGTAGAGTCTAGAAAAGGGCCAGGGCCCACACACAGTCATACATTCGCATGTGCAAACAAACAGTGTGCTTCCCAATGAGTCTCCAATTGAGGGGCTGGGTGAGGTCCTGAATCCCCCTCCTCAGATCCAAATGCCTCCATAGGCAGTTTGAGCTGAGCAAAGCTCTTATGGTTCCACATGTACAAACAAATATAAATGCATAAAATGCTCAAATGGTGTCAATAGCAGCCAAATCTTTTTTTTTTTTTTTTTGAGACGGAGTCTCGCTCTGTCACCCAGGCTGGAGTGCAGTGGCCGGATCTCAGCTCACTGCAAGCTCCGCCTCCCGGGTTCACGCCATTCTCCTGCCTCAGCCTCCCGAGTAGCTGGGACTACAGGCGCCCGCCACCTTGCCCGGCTAAGTTTTTTTTGTATTTTTAGTAGAGACGGGGTTTCACTGTGTTACCCAGGATGGTCTCGATCTCCTGACCGCGTGATCCGCCCGTCTCGGCCTCCCAAAGTGCTGGGATTACAGGCTTGAGCCACTGCGCCCGGCCAATAGCAGCCAAATCTTAAGTAGAGCAGGGCCCCCAGTGACACCCCAAAAGAGGTAGAGGGTGGGCCGGGCGCAGTGGCTCATGCCTGTAATCCCAGCACTTTGGGAGGCTGAGGCAGGCAGATCACGAGGTCAGAAGATCGAGACCATCCTGGCTAACACAGTGAAACCCCGTCTCTACTAAAAATATAAAAAATTAGCTGGGCGTGGTGGTGGGCGTCTGTAGTCCCAGCTACTCAGGAGGCTGAGGCAGGAGAATGGCGTGAACCCGGGAGGCGGAGCTTGCAGTGAGCTGAGATCGCATCACTGCACTCCAGCCTGGGCAACAGAGTGAGACCAAGTCTCAGAAAAAAAAAAAAAAAAAAAAGTAGAGGGTGGTCAGGGGTCAGGTGCACTCCAAATAACTCACCCAGTTTCAAAGTTTGCTGTCTTCTTCAGAGGTCACTTGCTTTGAACCAGTGAAACACTGAAGATGGCAGATGTCATGCCGGGAGGTGAAAGGAAGCCTCCTCCAAAACCAAAAGCACTTTTGGCAGCTGCTGGAAAGTTCCATAATGTTCCTGTCAGGGGATCCGCTAGCTATGAGCAGCTGGCACTCACAGGTGACCCCATGCCTCACCCAGGAGCATAACTGGGCTGTCCAGCTCAGACTCACCTAGAGCGGACAGCACTTCCCCATATGGGTCACCAAAATTGTAACTGAAATGCAGGTTCGGTCACTTGCTGCTTGCAGAGTCCAGTTAATGAGTAATGTCTGGTATAAAGAAAGAGACTTTTTATTCCAAAGCTAACTTAGGGGAAGAAGTATAGGCTTCCTGCCTTAAGGGTGCTGCTTTGGCTTTGGAGCAGAAAGTGGGTGCTTTTAATGTGGGGGAGGCTGGCATAGTGGCATGCATGGCACATGGGAGAGGAAGCAAGCAGGTGGGGGATCTGCTTACTCTCTTTGGTGCCTTATCTACTGGGCAGTCAAGTTGGTGACTGCTGGCACCTTTATGGGTTGTAAAAGTGGCCAGAAACTTTCCAGGTGGGAGAGAGTCTTGTAGCGGGCATACTTGAGGTCGTAGATGGACTGTTGTCTCTTGAGGCAACTTCCTGGTGGGAGAGAGTTTCGTAGTGGGCATACTTTGGGTTGCACATTGACTGATATCTCTGAGACAGTCGCTTGGTGGGAGAGAGTTCTGCCCTGGAGCCTCTAAGCACATGGTTAGATGAACTTTCCCTGTGGGGAGTGTCTGGTGAAGGGGAGCTGAAAGGTTATAATTGCATTGGTTAATTAGGAAGTGGGGAATAGGAGAAATGGAGAAAAGAAAATAAGAGAAAAGAAGAAAAAGATAATAGTAACTTACTCTTTTTTTCTAAGAAAAATGGGAATACTTGGTTAAAATCACAACACTTTTTTGGGAGACTGAGGCAGGAAGATAGTTTGAGTCCAGGAGTTTGACACCAGCCTGGGTAACATAGTGAAACCCTATGTCTAAAAAAAAAATTAACTAGGCTTGGTGGCATGCAGCTGTAATCCCAGCTACTCAGGAGGCTGAGGTGGGAGAATCACTTGAGCTTGTGAAGTTGGGGCTCCAATGAGCTGTGATTGTGCCAACACCCCAGCCTGGGTGACAGAGTGAGACCCTATCTCAAAAAATAAAATAACAAAAAAATCCTGAAAGTTTATTGTCGTTATTGATATGCTTACTGTTTCCACAAATGATCCAGTTTAACACAGAGTTTAGGTTAATAAAACAATATAAATATTGTCAGTAGCACAATCTAGATAGCTTTTTTGTTTGTTTGTTTTCGAGACAGAGTCCTGCTCTGTCGCCCAGGCTGGAGTGCAGTGGCCGGATCTCAGCTCACTGCAAGCTTCGCCTCCCGGGTTTACGCCATTCTCCTGCCTCAGCCTCCCAAGTAGCTGGGACTACAGGCGCCCACCACCTCGCCCGGCTAGTTTTTTGTATTTTTTTTTTTTTAGTAGAGACGGGGTTTCACTGCGTTAGCCAGGATGGTCTTGATCTCCTGACCTCGTGATCCGCCCGTCTCGGCCTCCCAAAGTGCTGGGATTACAGGCTTGAGCCACCGCGCCCGGCCTAATTTTTGTATTTTTAATAGAGATGGGGTTTCACCATGTTGGCCAGGCTGGTCTGGACCTCCTAACCTCAAGTGATCTGCCTGCCTCAGCCTCCCAAAGTGCTGGGACTACAGGCATGAGCCACTGTGCCCAGCCCTAGATAGCCTTTTTTGTTGCAGTTGTTTGTTCTAAGAGAGAAGAAACTAGGTCTGAAGTCTTTCTGTGTGCATAAGCGCCTTAGAATCAAGATATCTGTCATTTTGTGTTTAACACAAATGAGAAACGTCGGTACCAGTTATGGATTTAGTATCTGTTTCTGTAGCTCTTTTTTTTTTTTTTTTTTTTGAGACGGAGTCTCGCTCTGTTGCCCAGGCTGGAGTGCAGTGGCGCGATCTCGGCTCACTGCAAGCTCCGCCTCCCGGGTTCACGCCATTCTCCTGCCTCAGCCTCCCGAGTAGCTGGGACTACAGGCGCCCGCCACCGCGCCCGGCTAATTTTTTGTATTTTTAGTAGAGACAGGGTTTCACCGTGGTCTCCATCTCCTGACCTTGTGATCCGCCCGCCTCGGCCTCCCAAAGTGCTGGGATTACAGGCGTGAGCCACCGCGCCCGGCCTATCTCTTTTAAAAACACCACCTTTTGCATCTCTAGATATTGCTCCCCATTACCCATGATTATTTGGAACTATATGAATCCAAATTGTATGAAATTGAGTTATAGCTACTGGGAAGCCTGAGGTGGGAGGGTCGCTTCAGCCCTGGAGTTCTAGGCCACAGTGCACTATGCCCATCGAGTGTCTGCACTAAGTTCAGCTTCAGTATGGTGACCTTCTGGGAGCAGGACCACCACGTTGCCTGAGAGGGGTGAGCCTGTCCAAGTCGGAAAGGAGTGGATCCAAACTCCTGGGCTGATCAGTAGTGGGATCGTGCCTGTGAACAGTCACAGTACTCCAGCCTGGGCAACATAGCAAGACCCTGTCTCTTAAAAAAAGATTGTATCATACTAGAAAAGTGCACTTTGGGTATCTAAAGGAAGCACTACATGCACCTTTCTGTCTGCCAACCAGTTTGTTTACTTTACATGTGGTCCATCCTGGTTCACTGGGCCCTGGGAACCAGCCCCCTCTGGCCCATCTCCAGCACAGTAACAATAGCCAATGTTTATTGAGTCTAGGCCGTGTGCCAGATGTTGAGCTAAATATGTAATAGGCTATTGTTTGAGGCTGAGTGCAGTGGATGATGCCTGTAATCCCAGCACTTCGGAGGTCGCAGCAGTAGGATTGCTTCAGGTCAGGAGTTTGAGACCAGCTGGGGCAACAAACTGAGACCCTGTTCATACAAAAAGAAACAAATAAACAAAACCAGAAATGAGCAGGGCGTGGTGGTGCACATCTGTGCTCCCAGCTACTCGGGAGACTGCGGCGGGTGGATTGCCTGAGCCCAGGAGCTTGAGGTTGCAGTGAGCCACTGCACTCCAGCTTGGGTTACAGAGCAAGACCCAGACTCAAGGGGAAAAAAAAGGTTATTGTTTGAATCTAATGCTTACAACCAGCCTTTGAGGTGATACCATTAGTATCTTCACATTGTAAATGAGGTAACAGGTTTAGAGACATTGAGTAACATGCCCAAATCACGCAGATTAATGGAGGACCCAGGATTTAAACCTAGATTTGTCTGACTGCCATCTCTCTCTCTCTCTCTTTTTTACATTAAAAAAAAAAAAATGGAGACAGGGGATGGCTATGTTGCCCAGGCTGATCCTGAACTCCTGAGCTCAAGCGATCCTCCCATGTCAGCCTCCCAGGTAGCTGGGACTACAGGCCTGCACCACCACCCCTGGCTAATTTATGTATTTTTGTAGAGATGGGGGTTTTTACCACGTTGCCCAGGCTGGTCCTGAACTCTGGGCTCAAGCAATCCTCCCGCCTTGGCCTCCCAAAGTGTTGGGATTACAGGTGTGAACCACTGCTCTTGGCTGAGAGCTGCCATCTCAACTGCCATTACCTACCACAATGGGACCCAGAAGCCTGGTTCTGGACACAGTGGCTGCAAGGACCCTCAGGGGCCCTTCAGTTCTGCCTTGAAGCAAATCATTTTTCCACAGGGTCATTCCGGGTCCACCCCTGGCCCCAGCATGGTCAGCTCAGGTGACAGGATGCTCTCAGGAGCTCTGGCTGGTCAAGGCCCTTTCTGATGTAGGGTCAAATCCATCCCCCGTTAGCTTCCGTGGGACAGTCAGCCTTCTGCCCTTGAGGCTGTAGAGAAGATGCGTGGCTCTTCCCACCCCAGGGAATCCCCTCAGATCTTGGCTCGTTCACTCAGCAGACATTTACCGTGTGTCCACAATGTGCCCAGGATAGAGGAGTGGACAAGAAGAAGTCATGAGGCCTGGTGGAGCTGACATCTTAAAGAGGCAGAAAGTAAGTCCCATGTTGGCAGAGACATGCCCTACCCCCTTGATCCAGAGCCTCTCTGGATAATTCCAGCTTTCTAGATCGGAGACCCATTGGAAATGTGGTCCCAGATAAGGTACCCGCGTGAAGAACAGGGCCATGGGGCTGGCTGGGGTGACCCTACATAAGAAGCCTTGGCTGGTCCCAGGGTTTGGAGAGGCCATATGTCCAGGGCAGTCCTAGAGCTTAATCTGGCCAAATTCCAGTAAAAAGGAAAAAATAAAATCCTGCTTCCCCATCACCAAACACTAAATAAGCAGGCAGCAAGACAGGCCCAATCCACTGGCCTCCCCACTCCCTCCTAAACTCCAGAGCTCCCTCCCTAACTGTCTGCTGCCTCCTCCAGCCAGCGCCCATGGACATTTCTGACCAAACTCACATTCTGCCTTCTCCAGCCTGAAATCTGGCTTACCTATTCTCAAGACATCTTCCTCCCCACTCTCAGACTCTCCCCCTATCTCGGGTCTCTTTTATCTCCAAGATCTCTCTCCAGCCCTGCCAGGGTCCAAAATCAAGCATCAGCGCTGCTCCCTGCCAGACTTCCACCCTCCCTCACTCCCCTCAACCCGATTCTGACAGACACCTGAACAGGGGAACACAGTGTGAGATCATATCACAGGTCACAGACACACACAGACACACACACACACACAGACACACACACACACACACACACACATTTCCTGTTGTCCTGTGACCCTCCCTCTCCAGTCCCTGACTCAGGACACCATACAACAAAAGAACTCACAATACCAGTTTCAGTGTCATAAACGATAGATATGGGCCGGCACAGTGGTTCACGCCTGTAATCTCGGCACTTTGGGAGGCCGAGGCGGGTGGATGGCTTGAGGCCAAGAGTTCCAGACCAACCTAGGTAGCGTGGTCAAACTCTGTCTCTACAAAAAATACAAAGATTGGCCAGGTGCAGTGGCTCTCACCTGTAATCCCAGCACTTTGGGAGGCTGAGGTGGGCGGATCACAAGGTCAGGAGATCGAGACCATCCTGGCTAACACGGTGAAACCCTGTCTCTACTAAAAATACAAAAAAATTAGCTGGGTGTGGTGGCGGGTGCCTGTAGTCTCAGCTACTCAGGAGGCTGAGGGAGGAGAATGGCGTGAACCTGGGAGGCAGAGCTTGTAGTGAGCCGAGATAGTGCCACTACACTCCAGCCTGGGTGACAGAGCAAGACTCCATCTCAAAAAAAAAAAAAAAAAAAAAGAAAAAAAGAAAAAATACAAAGATTAGCCAGGTGTGGTGACTTGTACTTGTGGTCCCAGCTACTTGGGAGGCTGACTGGGGAGGATCACCTGAGCCCCGAAGGTTGAGGCTGCAGTGAGCCATGATCATACCACTGCACTCCAGCCTGAGAGACAGAGTGAGATGCTGTCTAAAAAACAGAACAAAACAAAAACTCCCCCAAACCCAAAAAGGTTTGGAAGAATAAATGCTCTGATATTGAGCCGGTCACCTTACCACTGCCCACCAAGGCAATTGTGAAAGCATGAGGAGAGGGGAAGAGAGGAATACCAGAGGCTGTAGAAAGGAGCAGAGGAGTTGGGATGTCCCCAGGAAGAGCCCATGTCCCAGCCCCCACCACCCCCCACCACCCCCCACCCTGGCTGAGGAGTGAAAATGAAAAGAGACCCCCAGAGGCCAGGCACAGTGGCTCAGACCTGTAATCCCAGCACTTTGGGAGACTAAGGCGGGTGGATCACGAGGTTAGGAGATTGAGACCATCCTGGCTAACATGGTGAAACCCCGTCTCCACTAAAAATACAAAAAAATTAGCCGGGTGTGGTGGCGGGCGCCTGTAGTCCCAGCTACTCAGGAGGCTAAGGCAGGAGAATGGCGTGAACCCAGGAGGCGGAGCTTTCAGTAAGCCGAGATCGTGCCACTGCACTCCAGCCTGGGTGACAGAGCAAGACTTCGTCTCAAAAAAAGAAAAAGAAAAAACATTCAGAACATTTTTGGTCAGGCACAGTGGCTCACGCCTGTAATCCCAATACTTCAGGAGGCTGAGACTGAAGGATCTCTTGAACCCAGGAGTTTGCGACTAGCCTGGTCAACATAGTGAGACCTCGTCTCTACTAAAAATACAAATATTAGTCGGGTGTGGTGGCACACGCCTGTAGTCTCAGCTACTCAGGAGGCGGAGGTGGGAGGATCACCTGAGCCTAGGAGGTCGAGGCTGCAGTGAGCTGTGGTAGCGCCATTGCACTTCAGCCTGGGCTTTGGAGTGAAGACCCTGTCTCAAACAAAAAAGAAGAAGAAGAAAGAAGAAGAAGAAAAATATTTAGAACATTTAAATCACACCTAAAACTACCCCTTGTGCTCCTTCCCAATCAAGCCCCATGCCCACCCTATAATCCAGACAACCACTGATTTATTTTTCCTTCCTTCTTTCCTTCCTGTCTTCCTGCCTTTTCTTTTCTGTTCTCTTTCTTCTTTCTCTCCTTCTCTTTTTCTTTCTCTCTCTTTCCTTCCTTCCTTTCTTTTTTCTCTTTCTTTTCTTTCTTCTTTCTCTTTCCCCTCCCTCCTTTCCTTTCTTCCTTCCTTCCTCCTTCCCTCCCTCCTTCCTCCTTGTCTTTCCTTTCTTCCTTTCACTCTCTCTCTCCTTCCTTCTTTCTTTTTTCCTCTTCATCAGCCTCTACATTGACCTATGATCTGCTTTCTGATACTATGAATTTGTTTTTCCTAGAATTTCATAAAAATAAATCACACAATATGTATTATTTTGTGTCTGACTTTGTGTATCATCTATTGAGAAGTTTGTATTCAAAAAATTTTTTGGTTTGTTTTTTGATTGAGTTTTTAGAGCTCTTTATGTAATAATTCTAGATAAAAGTCTTTTGACTTTGCAATATGTGTATTGCAAATAGTTTCTTCCAGTCTGTGGCTTGCCTTTTCATTATACTAATGATGTCTTTCTGTAAGTAGATTTTTATTTATTTTGTAAATGTTTTTCTTTTTCTTTCTTCCTTTTTTTTTAGGCTAGAGTGCAGTGGTGTGATCTCGGCTCACTGCAACCTTTGCCTACTTGGTTCAAGCGATCCTCCCACCTCAGCCTCCCAAGTGGGATTACACTGCCTGCCACCATGCTCGGCTAAGTTTTTGTTTGTTTGGTTTTTGTAGGGTCTTAACCAAATGACCCTGAAACAGAGTGGGACTTTTTTTTTTTTTAGTTATTTAAAAAATCTTGACGGGCTTAATGGTATAGTTTTTTCTTTTTTTTTTTTTTTTTCCCACAGCACAGTAAGTGGATAACAATATTTGCAAGTCATGCCAAGTTAAAGAATATGGTCAATTTAATACAATTTTCTTTTGTTTGTTTGTTTGTTTATTTTATTTATTTATTTTTTTGAGACGGAGTCTCGCTCTGTCGCCCAGGCTGGAGTGCAGTGGCCGGATCTCAGCTCACTGCAAGCTCCGCCTCCCGGGTTCACGCCATTCTCCTGCCTCAGCCTCCCGAGTAGCTGGGACTACAGGCGCCCGCCACCTTGCCCGGCTAGATTTTTGTATTTTTTAGTAGAGACGGGATTTCACCGTGTTAGCCAGGATGGTCTCGATCTCCTGACCCCCTGATTCGCCTGTCTCGGCCTCCCAAAGTGCTGGGATTACAGGCTTGAGCCACCGTGCCCGGCCAATACAATTTTCTAGAAACTTTCTTGGATCCTTCAAAAACTGGCCAATGCTTTTCTTGCATAAAGCCAAATCTGACTTAGAAAATGGCACATGTAATTTTTTTTTTTTTTTTTTTTTTGAGATGGAGTTTCACTCTCGTTGCCCAGGCTGGAGTACAATGGTGGGATCTCAGCTCACTGAAACATTTGCCTCCCAGGTTCAAGCAATTCTCCTACCTCAGCCTCCCAAATAGCTGGGATTATAGGCGCGCGCCACCACGCCTGGCTAATTTTTTGTATTTTTAGTAGAGATGGGGTTTCACCATGTTGGTCAGGCTGGTCTCGAACTCCTGACCTCAGGTAATCCACACGCCTCTGCCTCCCAAAGTGCTGGGATTACAGGCGTGAGCCACCGCGCCCGGCCATGGCACATGTACTCTTTAATCTTCTCCCATTTCTGTCAGGTAGCTCCTGCAATGGACACAGGTTTAACTTTAGGGTTGGATGGGGCCCCATTGCTGGTGGTACTGGTTGGGCTTAACTTCTCAGACAGCAGGAGGTAGGGGGTAGGGCTAGTTGGATAAGAGGGAATGGTGTCTAATGACCCTGGGGTGGAATCCTGCATTACAGAACTGGCTGGATTCCCCTTATAACTGGGGGCCTAAGAAGTCTCCAGGGAGGGTGTAGGCCCTCTAAGGGGAGCAGCTAGGAGGGGATCCCTTAAGCAGAGCTTCTGGTGCCTGGAAGTGACATGAGCCAGTAAAGGGCTATAAACCCTGTATATAAAGGGCCTTCTCCAATTTTTCTTATTCTTTTTTTTACAGAATAACTCTAATTGTAAAATAGCATTATAGTGAATCATATTTAAGCCAAATTTCTTCTTTTTAAAAATTTGTATTGGACCCAAATGGTGCTGCAATAGAAAGTGAGGGGTTTTTGTTTTGTTTTGTTTTCCTTTAAGCAGAATTTGAATTTGCACTGATAGCCCAAAGACACCCTAGTGGTGAGTCCTCTGAAATACTTGTTATTGTCCCCATGACTAGAAGGATTGACACTGGATGCAGAAGTTTTTCTAAGTCTAGCGAAAACTGGGCTCTTGCTATTTTTCGCTTTTAGATTTTTACCTCTTGCAGAGAAGGCGTAAGTATAGGTAGCAAGGCATTGTGAAAGTGGATTATAAGCATTTGCCAGTGAATGAAATATGACTAAAGACATATTTTTATTAAACGAAATGTAGAAGGAAAAGTGTAAATAAACCAAAAGAAAATGTTGTTACAGGCCAGGCACGGTGGCTCATGCCTGTAATCCCAGAACTTTGGGAGGCCGAAATGGGCGAATCACAAGTCAGGAGTTCGAGACCAGCCTGGCCAACATGGAAAATCCATCTTTACTAAAAATACAAAGATTAGCTGGGTGTGGTGGTGTGTGCTGGTAGTCCCAGCTACTCAGGAGACTGAGGCAGGAGAATCGCTTGAACCCAGGAGGTGGAGGTTGCAGTGAGCTGAGATTGCACCATTGCCCTCTAGCCTGGGCAACAGAGCGAGACTCCATCTCACCAAAAAAAAAAAAAAAAAAAAAAAAAAAAGATGTTGTTACAGAAATGATAACTTTAGGGCGGAAAACAAGAAAATGCAAGGCCAAGACTCCCCTGGGGTGGGCACCCAAGCCACAGTCCTAGAAAGAATGCTAATGCCGACATCCCCTGAGCACCTGGAGGGCGGCCAACAATACCAAATGCCTAAAACCCCAGAGTATCTGAGAACTGGCCAACGAGAGTCCTCACACCAAAGGTGGAAAACCCTGGACCATATCGGTGGTGGCCAACAGTGAACCCCAAAGACCAAGTCGGGGGCATAGAACAACTTTTTCCAGGGTCAATACGACAGGGACCTCTCACGAGCAAGTGTCCTGCGTTAAACAATTGCCCAAATATAGTTAGCAGGGATTTAAAGCAAAAACTACAAAAGAAATATATATTTCAGAGTGGAAAATAAAATGAAATAAAATGGCCAACAGAAAAATTAAATGGCATGAGAGGAGAAGGGACCAAGAGAAGGGGCAACAAGGATGCAATTGGTCAGGCATGCTTCGAGGGACTTTGAATTGACTATTTAGCTGACAGTCTTATTTCCTGGCTTACCTGATATGGAAGGGAGGAGGCAAAGGGACAGTCACCTGTCCACAGGAGCCAAAATGGTGCTGATCAGTCTCTAACTGGGGCCCAGTGAAGATCTTCTCCCCAGATTTCCCCAGCTTGGGCAAGCTTGGCTGCCAAAGGGGGATCAACAGGTGTACCAACAGCATGCCAGCTGCAGTAGTGAGTCCCACACAAGGCAGTTCTGCTATGGCTGCTTGCCCATCTGCTTGGCTCCATTGGCTGCCACGAAAGACAGTGGCTCTTATTTATTTATTTATTTATTTATTTATTTTGAGATGGAGTCTCATTCTGTTGCCCAGGTTAGAGCGCAGTGGCGCAATCTCGGCTCACTGCAACCTCCACCTCCTGGGTTCAAGCGATTCTCCTGCCTCAACCTCCTGAGTAGCTGGGATTATAGGTGTGCACCACCATGTCAGGATAATTTTTGTGTTTTTAGTAAAGATGGGGTTTCACTATGTTGGCCAGGTTGGTGTCAAACTCCTGACCTCAGGTGATCCACTGGCCTCAGCCTCCCAAAGTGCTGGGATTACAGGAGTGAGCCACTGCACCTGGCCAAGACAGTGGCTCTTAAAATGAACCTTTGGGCTAGTGCTACACCTCTGCAGTATTAGAAGCTCTGCAGCTTCGATTGCTTGTAGCACTGATCACCTGCTGTCTCTTGCTGATCACCATCTTGACCTCTCTTGCCACCTCTCCCCAACTGCTACCTCCTGCCATCTCTCTGTTGTCTGTCTTGCCAATTGCTCTCACCACTTCTAATTGCCATCTATTGCTGTCTTTCTGTCCTGTCTCACCATCCTGCCAATTGCTGACCACCAATTGCCAATTTTCTCCTCTCTACTGTCTTGCTGCCTGTCTGCTAATTGCCAATCACTGCCATCTCTGCTGTCTTTGTGGTCTTCATGGTCACCAGGTGATGCAGAACAGGTGAGCCCCTAAATTGGGGCTTAGCTGGGAGGGTTCTAGGGTTCACACAAGAAGGAATTCAAGAGCAAGACAGTGGTAGAGAGCAGTTTTTAATTGAATGGCACTGCTCTTTGTGGAGCAGGGATAACTCATGGGCAGTGCACCTACAGCAGGCAACCTATGGGCTCTTGGCAACCGTATTTATATTCGCTTATACTCATTTTTAATTATATGCAAATAGAAGGGTGAGTTAATGCAAATTGATGGAGGGGTTATTTAGAACTTTTTAGGAAAGGGTGGTGACTTCTGGGTCATTGGTGTGGAAAGGCGTGGTAACTTCTGGGTCATTGCCATGACATTTGTAAACTGTCATGACGCTGGTGGGAGCGTCTTATGCGAAGGAGCAATGAGGGCAGCTAGGGATTGCTTTTGTCACCATCTGCTGGTTCTTTCCAAACAAGTCCTACTGGTCTCCTCTCTCGATTTTAACACTATTAATTCTCTGATTTCATGTGTATGGGATGTCTTTCCATTTGTTTGTGTCCTCTTCAATTTCTTTCATCAGTGTTCTGTAGTTTTCATTGTAGAGATAGTTTACCTTCTTGGTTAGATTTATTCCTAGATTTTTTTTTTTTCCCAGCAAGATAAATGAGCTTCTTCATTTCTTTCTGAGCTAGCTCATTTTTGGTGTGTAGAAATGCTAATGATTTTTGTATGTTGATTTTGTATCCTGCAACTTTACTGAATTCATTATTAATTCTAGGAGTTTTTTGGTAGAGTTTTTAGATTTTCCTAAATATATGATCACATCATCAGCAAGGAGGGAGTTTGACTTTTTCAATCTGGATGCCTCTCATTTCTTTTTCTTGCCTGATTGCTCTGGCTAGGATTTCCATCACTGTATTGAATAGGGGTGATGAGAGTGGGTATTCTTGTCTTATTCCAGATCTTAGAGAAAAGACTTTCAGCTTTTCCCCATTTAGTGTGATGTCAGCTGAGGGTTTGTCATATCAAATTGTTATGAAGTAAATTCCTTCTATTCCTAGTTTGTTTGGAGGTTTTATCATGAAAGGATATGGAATTTTATTAAATGCAATTTAGTAATTGTTTCAATTGAGATAATCATATGGTTTTTGTCTGTGTCTCCTGGGCTCAAGTGATCCTCTTGCATCAGCCTCTTGAATAGCTAGAACTACAGGCATATGGCACCACACACAGCTAATATTTTACTTTATTTTCATAGAGATGGAGTCTTGCTACATTGTCCAGGCCATTCTCAAATTCCTGCCTCAAGTTATCCTCCTGTCTCAGCCTCCCAAACTGCTGGGATTACAGTTGTGAGCCATGGAATTTCTGTATACCATTTAGAATCAGCTTGTCAATTTCTATCAATCCAGTCTGCTGAGATTTCGATTGCTATTCTTGTTTGAATCTATAAAATTGAATCTCATTCTCAAAATGAGAAAGGCTTCTTGGAAGCTGCATTTTTTTTTTTTTTTTTTTTTTAAAGATGGAGTCTCGCTCTGTCACCCAGGCTGGAGTGCAGTGGTACAATCTCCGTTCACTGCAAGCTCCGCCTCCTGGGTTCACGCCATTCTCCTGCTCAGCCTCCCGAGTGGCTGGGACTACAGGCGCCCGCCACCACACCCAGCTAATTTTTTGTATTGTTAGTAGAGACAGGGTTTCACCATGTTAGCCAGGATGGTCTCAATCTCCTGACCTCGTGATCCGCCTGCCTCGGCCTCCCAAAGTGCTGGGATTATAGGTGTGAGCCACCGCACCCGGCCAGCAGTACATATTTTAATCAAATGTCTAGAATATGTCATTATTAACTGTTGCCATGGAGCAATGTGATATAATCTGAATAACTGTTAAAATTAAACTCTTAATTCCAAAAAATGAAAGATAAGCTTTGGTGTGAATGTGAAGAAATTGGAGCCCTAGTGCCTTGTTGGTGGGCATGCAAAAAGGTACAGCCACTGTGGAAAACAGCCTGGCAATTCTTCAAAAATTTAAACACAGAACTATCCTGTGATCAAGCAATTCCAATTCTAGGTATATATCCAAAAGAACTGGGCCGGGAGCAGTGGCTCACGCTTGTAATCCCAGCACTTTGGGAGGCTGAGGTTGTGGATCATGAGGTCAGGAGTTCAAGACCAGCCTGACCAACATGGTGAAACCCTGTCTCTAGTAAAAATACAAAAATTAGCCCAGCGTGGTGGCGCACACCTGTAATCCCAGCTCCTCAGGAGGCTGAGGCAGGAGAATCACTTGAACCTGGGAGACAGAGGTTGCAGTGAGCCGAGATCGTGCCATTGCACTCCAGCCTGGGCCACAGAGTGAGACTCCATCTCAAAAAACAAAACAAACAAACAAACAAAAAACAAAACAGCAAAATCTGAAGTCAAGGACTTCAACAGATATTTGTACACCAACGTTGAGAGCAACATTATTTACAATAGTCAAAATGTGGAAACAATTCAAATGTCTATCCACAGATGAAGGGAGAAACAAGATGCAGTATACACATACGATGGAATATTCTGTGGCAATCTGAAGGAACGGAATTTTGGCATACGCTACAGCATGGATCAACCCGCGTCACATTATGCCAAGTGACACAAGCCAGACACAGAGGGACACATATTGTGTGATTTTACTTATTTGAAGTACCTAGAATAGGCAAATTCATAAAAACAAAAAGTAGAATAGAGATTGCCAGGGGCTGAGGTGAGGGGAATGCGAAGTTTTGCATAATGGACACAGAATTTATGTTGGGGACAATGAAAAAATTCCAGAGATGGAAAATGATGATAGTTGCATGACATTGTAGATGTACTGAACGGCGGTGAATTGCACACTTAAAATCAGTCAGATAGGCCAGGTGCAGTGGCTCTTGCCTGTCTGAAAGGAATTTCTCCTTTCACTTCTGTCAGTTTTTGCTTCATGCATTTTGAATTATTGAATGCATACTGTTATGACTTTGATGTTTTCTTAATGAAGTAACTCCTTTATAATGATAAAATATCTCTTTTAATTCTCAGTAGTATTCCTTGTTTCTCATATGGCGCTCACCCAAGTCAAATGACTGATGTATCTCCAGGTCATCCCATCCTTGCCCTCCAGCTCTACCTTGGATGGGAGTCTACATCTCAAAAGTTCCTGAGATTATGTTCCCTACCCTCCTAGGCATGACGGACCTCAAATCAGAGATTAAGTTGAGTTATGGAGAAAATAAAGAAATAAAATAAAGAAAGTAAAGGTTCTCTTCTTTGTTGTCACTACTGGCTGGAGGCTGGGTGCTCTTAAATGTCACAGACAAGTGCCACTCTGTTCCTCCCATGCTCCCTGCATGCCAGCTTGTCCCATGGTGTCCCTTTGTTTCTTTTCTTTTTTTCTTTTCTTTTTTTTTTTTTTTTTGAGGCAAGGTCTCACTCTGTCACCCAAGCTGGAGTACAGTGGCACGATCTCGGCTCATTGCAACCTCCGCCTCCCAGGTTCAAGTGATTGTCCTGCCTCAGCCTCCTGAGTAGCTGTTACTATAGACGTGCGCCATCACGCTCAGTTATTTTTGTATTTTTAGTAGAGATGGGGTTTCACCATGTTGCCCAGGCTGGTCTTGAACTCCTGACCTCAAGTAATCCGCCTGCCTCAGCCTCCCAAAGTGCTGGGATTATAGGTGTGAGCCACCACGCCCAGCCACATGTGGCATTTTAATTTGGCAGGAAAGGGTGGAATTATGTAATGAGAGGCGCTGCAGTCAGCTCACTCCCCATCTGGAAGAAAATGCACCTGGGCCTGTCTCTTACACTAGCCCACAAAACAAATTCCAGAAAAGAAAAAGATTTATTAAATGAAAAAAAAAAAAACAACCCATAATATGAATCTTGTAAGAAAATGTAAAATATGAGAAGACCTTCTCAATCAAGACTGGAAACCCAGAAGTTAGGAAATGTGACTGTTTAAATGTATGCGTGCCAAAAGAGGCTGGAGACAAAGTACAGGGATAAAGGAGAAACTCAGAAAAAATGTTTGCACAGCTGAAGACAATAGCAGCTTAATACCACCCCATAAAAGGGGTTTTTGCAAATCAAGAAGTGGACAACACAACAGAAAAGCGGGCTAAACATATAGAGGAGCAATTCACAGAAGAAAAATTCCAGTGGCCAACAAACAAAAGAAAAGGTGCTGCTTAATCAGGCTAAACAGTCGGGAAATGCAAAGTAAAGTTATACTACTACACCCATCAGTTTGGCAATAATTAAAAAGGCTTTGGGGCCAGGCATGGTGGCTCATGCCTGCAATATCAGCACTTTGGGAGGCCGAAGCAGGAGCGTTGCTCAAGCCAGGAGTTGGGGTACATATTCTCAGGACCTCTTGAGACTGCACCTCAGGACAAAAAAAAATTATATATATATATATGAGATATGGTTATATATGATATATATACTATATCTATCTATCTACATATCATATATATAAAATATGGTTAGGCTTTGTATTCCCACATGAATCTCATCTTGAATTGTAATTGCCAGGTGGAGGTAACTGAATCATCGGGGCAGCTTCCCCCATGCTGTTCTCATGATAGTTCTCACTCTCATGAGTGAGTTCTCATGAGATCGGATGATTTTATAAGGGGCTCTTCCCCCTTTGCTCGGCACTTCTCCTTCCTTCTGCCTTGTGAAGAAGATGCCTTGCTTCCCCTTCACCTTCTGCCTTGATTGTAAGTTTCCTGAGGCCTCCCCAGCCATCCTGAACTGTGAGTCAATTAAACCTCTTTCCTTTATAAATTACCCAGTCTCAGGCAGTTCTTTATAGCGGTATGGAAACTAATACTATATATATATTATATATAAGTTTTATATATAATATACATATATATGTAATATTTAACATCTATTAACGATGGGGATATGAGGAGATGGAAATTTTCATGCTTTTTTGTGGATAAGAGATATTAATTTTTTTTTTTTTGAGACGGAGTCTTGCTCTGTCTCCCAGGCTGGAGTGCAGTGGCGCGATCTTGGCTCACTGCAAGCTCTGCCTCCCGGGTTCACGCCATTCTCCTGCCTCAGCCTCCTGAGTACCTGGGACTACAGGCGCCCGCCACCACACCTAATTTTTTTTGTATTTTTTTAGTAGAGACAGAGTTTCCCCATGTTAGCCAGGATGGTCTCGATCCCTTGACCTCGTGATCCACCTGCCTCAGCCTCCCAAAGTGCTGGGATTACAGGCATGAGCTACCGCGCCCGGCCAAAGATGTTAATTTTTAAAAACTTAGCTAATATCTAGTAAAATAGAACATTCTTACATTTTCAGCCCAGCAATCTCATTCATGGCTTAGATGCCTCTTCCTCCAGGAAGCCTCCGGACCTCACAGTCCCAGCTGCTTGTGGGTTGTAAAGTGAATATCCAGCAACACGTCTGTTTCCCCTGTTCATGGGGCTGTGTCATCATCCAATTGCACCAGCACCGTCCAGTGCCTGCGCAGAGGAGACTCTTAGTGAACATCTGCTGGACGAATGGATCTGACCTCATGTCACCCTGCGAATGGCATAGGTGCTCTGCCAATTTGACAGGTGAACCATGAAGGCACAGCTCTCTGGTGACTTAACCAAACAATGGAGCTGAGACACCATTCCAACACAGACACTACTTTCCTTCCAACCCAGTGTTCAACCCACTGCCAGGCCTGCTCCAGGTGAGTGACCAGAGCCAGCAGAGACCCGGAAGGACAGACCTCACCTCAGCAAAGAATTGGGGGAGCTGTCTGAGTGGCCGAAACAGTGACTGGCAGGCAGGAAACAGCCTGTAGGTGCTGTGGGGTGTTTTGTTTTGTTTTGGAGACAAAGTCTCACTCTATTGCCCAAGCTGGAATGCAGTGGCACAATCTCAGCTCACTCAAACCTCCACCTCCCGAATTCAAGCGATTCTCATGCCTCAGCCTCCTGAGTAGCTGGGACTACAGACCTTTTCCCCAACACCTGGCTAATTTTTTTGTATTTTTAATAGAGACGGAGTTTCACCATGTTGACCAGGCTGGTCTTGAACTCCTGGCCTCAAGTGATCCACCTGTCTTGGCCTCCCAAAGTGCTGGGATTACAGGCGTGAGCCACCGCGCCAGGCCATGTAAGTGCTGTATTTCATCCTAAATATGAATGTGGGGTTTATCATTCTAGTTTACAAGAGCAGACTTTTGTTGTGATCAAGTCCTCTTAACCACAAATAGAGTGCTTAAGTATTTTCAAATATCCTTCTTATGCCCATTGTTGCAAAAATGCAACATGTCTGATTGAGCATTATTGGTTCTTGCTCCATCTGTCCTAATAAGCACACTTTCACACGTCAAGTGGTCTTCTGAGGCATAAGGAAAATTTGACTTGTGCTCTGCCGAGGACCATCCTGAAGATAGAGGGCTCATGTAGGCTTTTCAGAATTTTAATTTCACCCAAAATATACTTCATTGTTTAAAAATATTTTAGTGACTCTATACATAATACCTTTGACCATATGTGGAGAACCAAGGAACATAATGATGCTGGTTGGTTGCTCCTAAGTTCAGTGGACAAAATGATTAAAGAAAATGATGGGTAGGGCACGTTGACTCACACCTGTAATCCCAGCACTTTGGGAGGCCAAGGCAGTGGATCACAAGGCCAGGAGATCCAGACCATCCTGACTAACACAGTGAAACCCCATCTCTACTAAAAATACAAAAAATTGTCCAGGCGTGGTGGCAGGCGCCTGTAGTCCCAGCTACTCGGGAGGCTGAGGCAGGAGAATGGTGTGAACCTGGAAGGCGGAGTTTGCTGTGAGCCGAGATTGCGCCACTGCACTCCAGCCTGGGCAACAGAGTGAGACTCTGCTTAAAAAAAAAAAGAAAGAAAATTATGAACTCAGGGATTTTATCTGCCTGCTTCAAAGGCAGATACTGAGCCTCAAATCTGCTAAGATTGCCCTGAGTGAGAGTCTTATCTCCTGTAGAGAAAGAGCTGAAATTGTGGAAAAACAGACACAAGCTCTTATCATGCAAGTGGCTGACCTGCAACGAAAGAGGCATGCACGGCCTCACCAGGTGTCTACTGTTAAGGTGAGGGCATTGATTGGAAAAGAATGGGATCCTGTGACTTGGAATGGGGATGTGTGGGAGGACCCTGCTGCAGCTGGGGGCACTGAGCTTGTAAACTCTGATGAATCTTTTTTTCCAGAAGACACAACTTGCCCATCCCCAGTAGCAGCAACATCCTCTCCCCAACCCATGCTATCATTAGCCTTTCCATCTTTGTCTGAGAAGATAAAACCTGTTCTGCCTGAGGCAGTTGCCAGGCAAGATAATGTTGATTCTCCTCAGGAGCCACCCCCAACACCTGTTTGCTTTAGACCTATGACTAGACTCCAGTCCCAGCAGGCCCCTAGAGGTGAGGTTGAGAGTGAGCTATACTCAAAAAGAACTGTTTGAGTTCTCTAATTTATATAAACAGAAATCTGGAGAACAGGCATACAAATGGATATTAAGGGTATGGGATAATGGTGGAAGAAACATAGAGTTGGATCAGGCTGAATTTATTAATTTGGGCCCACTAAGGAGGGACTCTGCAATTAATGTTGCAGCTCTGGGAGTTAAAAAAGTTTCTAATTGTTTATTTGCTTGGTTAGCTAAATATGAATTAAAAGATGGCCCATTGTGAGCAAGCTGGAAATGCCTGATCTCTCTTTGTTTAATGTAGAGGAAGGTATCCAAACGCTTAGGGAGATTGCGATGGTGGAGTGGATTAGTCAAATTAGACCTACTCATCCCAGCTGTGAGGGTCCAGAAACTATATCCTTAACCTATGCCTTATAAAATAGATTTGTGAGGACAGCTCCTGCATCTTTGAAGAGCCCTGTAATTGTTCTTCTCTGTATGTCAGATCTAATGGCAGGAACCACAGTCATTCAACTACAAAATTTAAATACAATGGGAGTAATTGGGTCTTGAGGTGGCAGGGGCAAGTGGAGGCATTCAACGGTCAAAGGCAAGGTGGGAGTAGCTACTGTAATGGACAGCAGAGGCAAAGTGGCAATCAGAATAGTCTGACTCGTGTAGAGCTCTGGCATTGGCTAATTAATCATAGCGTTCCTAGAAGTGAAACTGATAGGAAGCCTACTTCATTCCTACTTAATTTATACAAGCAGAAAACTTCTAGGTCAAATGGACAAAAGACTAATTTGAAATACAAAAATAGAGAATCAGGGCTCTTCAATCAATTTCCAGACTTGAGCCAGTTTACAGACCAAAACTCCTTGAATGAAGGGGAAACCGGGTCCCCTTCAGGAAGGACCCCACTAGATTATTGACAATTTATGCACTGAATTGCTCACCCATCCTTCCCCAAGCACACATCTGGCTTTTTACCAGGGTAACTGTTCACTGGGAAAAGGGAAATGATCAGACATTTCAGGGACTATTGGACACTGGCTCTGAGCTGACACTGATTCCAGGGGACTATAAACGTCATTTTGGTCTTCCAGTTAAAGTAGGGGCTTATGGAGGTCAGGTAATTAATGGAGTTTTTGCTCAGGTCTGACTTCCAGTGGTTCCGGTGGGTCCCTAGACTCATTCTGTGGTCATTTCTCCGGTGCTAGAATGCATAATTGGCGTAGACATACTTAGCAGCTGACAGAACCCCCACATTGGCTCCCTGACTGGTAGGGTGAGGGCTATTATTCTGGGAAAGGCCAAATGGAAGCCATTTGAGCGGTCTCTACCTAGACAAATAATAAATCAGAAACAATATCGCATCCCTGGAGGGACTGCAGAGATTAATGCCACCATCAAGGACTTGAAAGACGCAGGGGTGGTGATTCCCACCACATCCCCGTTCAACTCTCCCATTTGGCCTGTGCAGAAGACAGATGGTTCTGCACGATATGCAGGCACCACCCAAAAGTGGACAGCTGCAGCGCTACAGCCCGTTCCTAGGACATCCCTGAAGGACAGCGGTGAAGGGAAATCTTCCCAGTGGGCAGAACTTTGAGCAGTGCACCTAGTTGTGAACTTCAAATGGAAGGAGAAATGGCCAGATGTGGGATTATATACTGATTCATGGGCTGTAGCCAATGGTTTGGCTGGATGGTCAGAGACTTGGAAGAAGCATAATTGGAAAATTGGTGACAAAGAAATATGTGGAAGAAGTATGTGGATGGACCTCTCTGAGTGGTCAAAAACTGTGAAACTATTTGTAACCCATGTGAGTGCTCACCAATGGGTGACCTCAGCAGAGAAGGATTTTAATAATCAAGTAGATAGGATGACCTGTTCTGTGGACACCACTCAACCTTTTTTCCCAACCACCCCTGTCATCACCCAATGGGCCCATGAACAAAGTGGCCATGGTGGCAGGGATGGAGGCTACACATGGGCTCAGCAACCTGGACTTCCACTCACCAAGGCTGACCTGGCTACGGCCACTGCTGAGTGCCCAATTTGCCGGCAGCAGAGACCAACACTCAGCTCTCAATATGGCACCATTCCTTGGGGTGATCAGCCAGCTACCTGGTGGCAGGTTGATTATATTTGACCTCTTCCATCATGGAAAGGTCAGAGGTTTGTCCTCACTGGAATAGACACTTACTCCGAATATGGGTTTGCCTATCCAGCACACAATGCTTCTGCCAAGACTACCATCTGTGAACTCACAGAATGCACCCTCATGGTATTCCACACAGCATTGTCTGACCAAGGCAACATCCTGAAGCAGCTGGATTGACAGAACGGTGTCAGGCAATCTGCCCGCCTCGGCCTCCCAAAGTGCTGAGTCTGTCTGTCCCAGGCTGGTCCGTCTCTGTCACCCAGGGTGGAGTGCAGTGGCATGATCTCGGCTCACTGAAGCCTGGAACTCCTAGGCTCAAGCGATCTTCCCTCCTCTGCCTTCCAAGTAGCTGGGAACACAAGCGAGGGCCACTGCCATGTCTGGCTAATTAAAAAAAATTTTTTTTGTAGAGACGGAGTCTCACTCTGTTGCCAAGGCTGGTCTGTAACTCCCGGGCTGAAGCGATCCTCCCACCTCTGCCTCCCAGTGTTGGGATCACAGCCGTGAGCCACTGGACCAAAAAAAAAAAAGAAACCTAATATACAAAACAACGGCTGGGTGCGGTGGCCCTAGCACTTTGGGAGGCTGAGGTAGGCAGATTGCTTGAGCTCAGGAGTTTGAGGCCAGCCTGAGCAACATATTTTTCTTTTCTTTCTTTATTTTATTTATTTATTTATTTATTTTTTGAGACTGAGTCTCCCTCTGTCGCCCAGGCTGGAGTGCAGTGGCATGATCTTGGCTCACTGCAACCTCTGCCTCCTGGGTTCAATCGATTCTCCCACCTCAGCCTCCCGAGTAGCTGGGACTATAGGCGCCTGCCACCAAGTCCGGCTAATTTTTGTATTTTCAGTAGAGACGTGGTTTCACCATATTGGCCAGGCTGGTTTCGAACTCCTGACTCTGTGATCCACCTGCCTCGGCCTCCCAAAGTGCTGGGATTACAGGTGCGAGCCACCGTGCTCGGCCTCTTTTTTTCTTCTGAGACAGAGTCTCGTTCTGTCGCCCAGGCTGGAGTGCAGTGGCACCATCTTGGCTGACTGCAACCTCTGCCTCCTGGGTTCAAGAGATTCTCTAGCCTCAGCCTCCTGAGTAGCTGGGATTATGTATGGATGCCACAAATGCCCAGCTAACTTTCGTATTTTTAGTAGAGATGGGGTTTTAACATGTTGGCCAGGCTGGTCTCCAATGCCTGACCTCAAGTGATCTGCCCGCCTCGGCCTCCCAAAATGCTGGTGTCAGAGGTGCATGAACCAGAGCAATTCTATCTAGAACAGGAGCTGGGTAAAATGAGGCTGAGACCTACTGGGCTGCGTTCCCAGAGGGTTAAGACATTCTAAGTCACAGGATAAGACAGGTGGTACAAGATACAGGTCATAAAGACCTTGCTGATAAAACAGATTGCAGTACAGAAGCCAACTAAAACCCACCAAAACCAACGTGGCCACTAGAGCAACCTCTGGTCGTCCTCACTGCCACACTCCTACCAGTGCCATGACAGTTTACCAGTGCCATGGTAGTGTCAGGAAGTTACTGTGTATGGTCTAAAGACAAGAGACATGAATAATCCACCCCTTGCTTAGCATATCATCAAGAAATAACCATAAAAATGGGCTGGGCGCAGTGGCTCACGCCTGTAATCCCAGCACTTTGGGAGGCTGAGGCGGGCGGATCACAAGGTCAGGAGATCGAGACCATCCTGGCTAACACGGTGAAACGCCGTCTCTACTAAAAATACAAAAAATTAGCCGGGCATGGTGGCGGGTGCCTGTAGTCCCAGCTACTTGGGAGGCTGAGGCAGGAGAATAGTGTGAACCCGGGAGGTGGAGCTTGCAGTGAGCCGAGATAGTGCCACTGCACTCCAGCCTGGGTGACAGAGGGAGACTCCATCTCAAAAAAAAAAAAAAAACAAAAAAAAAAAACATAAAAATGAACAATCAGCATTGAGTTTCTTTACTTTCCTAACAAACTTGCTTTCACTTTATGGACTCGCCCTGAATTTTTTTTTTTTTTTTTTTTTTGAGACGGAGTCTTGCTCTGTTCCCAGGCTGGAGTGCCGGTGGTGCGATCATGCTCACTGCAACCTCCACCTCCCGGGTTCAAGTGATTCTCCTGCCTCAGCTTCCCGAGTAGCTGGGATTACAGGCGGGCACCACCACGCCTGCCTAATTTTTGTATTTTTAGTAGAGATGGGGTTTCATCATGTTGGTCAGGCTGGTCTTGAACTCCTGACCTCAAGTAATCCGCCTGCCTCAGCCTCCTAAAGTGCTGGACTCGCCCTGAATTCTCTATTGTGTGAGATCCAAGAACCCTCTCTTGGGGTCTGGATAGGCCCTTTCCTGTTAACACTGGGATTGCAGGCGTAAGCCACCATGTTCAGCCACCTTTGAGGCAGGAAAATAGCGTCTGGAGGCAGGCAACATACAAGGCCAACTCACATTTCAGTTATGACAGGAAATATCCTCTCCTTAGGGCATACACCCTAAATGACTTTGTAACTTTACTTCATCCTCTTCATTTACACAGGGCGTATCCCAAGTACCCAAGAGTATTTAAACTCCAACAAATCCTGTAACTGGCCCCTATGGTCAGCCGGCCCCCACACTGGAGTGTACTTTCATTTTCAATAAATCGTTCATTCCTTCCTTGCTTTGTGCGTTTTGACCAATTCTTTTGTTCTTCTTTTTCTGTTTTTTTTTTTTTTTTTGAGACAGAGTCTCGCTCTGTCAGCCAGGCTGGAGTGTAGTGACATGATCTCGGCTCACTGCACACTCCGCCTCCCAGGTTCAGGCCATTCTCCTGCCTCAGCCTCCCGAGTAGCTGGGACCACAGATGCCCGCCAAAACGCCCGGCTAATTTTTTGTATCTTTTTTTTTTTTTTTTTTTTGTAGAGACGGGGTTTCACCGTGTTGGCCAGGATGATCTCGATCTCCTGACTTCGTGATCCGCCCGCCTCGGCCTCTCAAAGTGCTGGGATTACAGGCGTGAGCCACCGCGCCCAGCCGTTTTGTCCAATTCTTTAAGATGCCAAGAATCTGGACACCCTCCACCAGTGACATCTTCACAGTTCTGAGGAGTATTCATGGGGTATTTTGTAGAATGTTTCTCAATTGGTATTTGTCTGATCTTTTTCTCATGATTAGGCTGGAGGTAGCTGGGATTTCAGGTGTGAGCCACCATGCCCAGTCTCCAAATCCTGTTTACGCAAAAATTTTTAAAAATTAGCCAGCCTTGGTAGTGCGCGCCTGTAGTCCCAGCTACTCAGGAGCCTGAGGTGGATCACTTGATCCAGGGAGGCGGAGGCTGCAGTGAGCGGAGATTATGCCTCCCCCGCTGCACTCCAGCCTGGGCGACACAGACCTTGTTTCAAAAAAAAAGCCTAATATGGCTGGGCGCCCTGGCTCACGCCTGTAATCCCAGCACTTTGGGAGGCCGAGGCGGGCGGATCACGAGGTCAAGAGATCCAGACCATCCTGGCCAACATGGTGAAACTCCGCCTCTATTGAAAATACAAATATTAGCTGGGTACTCTGGAGGCTGAGACAGGAATATCGCTTGAACCCGGGAGGCGGAGGTTGCAGGGAGCCGAGATGGCGCCACTGCACTCCAGCCTGGCGACAGAGCGAGACTCCGTCTCAAAAATAAAAGAAGCCTAATACACGAAATAAAGCTAGAAATCTTAGCCCTGAGTCCTCCTGCCTACGGAATGAAGTCCACAGACCTGGGGGAGCGTTCGAGCCCCTCTAAGCACAGTTCCTTTCTCCAGCCTCTCGCGCGCAGTTCACTCCCGACAACACCTCCCGCCGCCACAAGGAGACGCCCGAGGACTGCCCTCCGTCAAAGCCCAAACGGTATTGCCACGTGACCCGCTCCGCATCCACGTGAACAGCGTCGCACCCGGTGGGCGTCACGTGACAGACTCAGTAGTTCTCCAATCGCTGTGCACGTTGTGGGGTTTCCACCTAGGACTCGGCCTGAGGCTTGTAACACTTCGTTTTCCCAGGAGTCACAGGGGCAGTCTTGCCCCTTGCAACTGGGTCGCGGTGACTCTCAAAGGTCCCCCTCTACAGGGGCTTCGTGAGGCCCGGGCCTACAGCGGGCTCGGTCCCGGAAGTGACGTCTCCCACAGGGGCCGGAAGTGGCAGTGGAGGGAGGGAAGATGGCGGAGGTGGTGAGTCCGGTGCCCGGGGCGGGGCGGAGGGAGCCAGGGGAGGTGGGTAGAGCCCGAGGCCCCCCAGTAGCCGACCCTGGCGCCGCGCTGTCTCCCCAGGGGGAGATAATCGAGGGCTGCCGCCTACCCGTGCTGCGGCGGAACCAGGACAACGAAGATGAGTGGCGTGAGTGACGTTGGGGGGCGGGGCTAAGGAACCTGAGGGCGAGGGGCGGGAGGGAGTCAACTGAACCCCCGGGATGGGGAGGGGCCTCTGGAATTATGGGGCGGGCGGGGCGCAGATACTCCCATGAAGGGGCGTGGCTCTTAGCTGCTCCGAGAGGTACAGGGCGGGGCCTGGAAAGGGGTGGCAGTAGTGACTGAAGGAGGCTTAGGAGAGACCTTCTAAGTGCTGGAGCTTAGGGATCCGGCCTTGGGGTGGAGTTCAGGTCGTGGAAGGGTGGAGTCTCAGCCTGGCCCGGCCCGTCTAAGGCCCCTGCCTATGCTATTCCCATAGCCCTGGCCGAGATCCTGAGCGTGAAGGACATCAGTGGCCGGAAGCTTTTCTACGTCCATTACATTGACTGTGAGTTCTGGGCCTGAGGTGGGGCATCAGGGTAGGGTTGGGGAACAGTCTTTGGCATTCTGTCCTGAGCCATCCCCACTGCTGCAGTCAACAAACGTCTGGATGAATGGGTGACGCACGAGCGGCTGGACCTAAAGAAGATCCAGTTCCCGAAGAAAGAGGCCAAGACCCCCACCAAGAACGGACTTCCTGGGTCCCGTCCCGGCTCTCCAGAGAGAGAGGTGGTGAGTAGGTCCCCCACTTCACCTCTTCTCTCCTGCCTCGTGTTTCTCTTATCTGTTGGCATTAGGGGCTCCTGGATGGGCAGTAGGCGGCTCCCTCTCACCCTGACTTCATCTTGCAAAGGATGGGGGCCGAATTGCACATGTAGCTCCCAGAGTCCAGTAGCTAGTCCTGTGTCCTTCAGAAGGCGAGGGTGGGGTTTGATAATTTTGAGCTGAGGGACCCCTGTTCCCCTTCCCCATTCCACTGCCATCCCCGCCCCAGAGGAAGACCCTGGACCTATCTCTACAGCCGGCCTCGGCCCAGGCAAGCGGGAAGACCTTGCCAATCCCGGTCCAGATCACACTCCGCTTCAACCTGCCCAAGGAGCGGGAGGCCATTCCCGGTGGCGAGCCTGACCAGCCGCTCTCCTCCAGCTCCTGCCTGCAGCCCAACCACCGCTCAACGGTACCCTCAGCAATTCCAGGGACCTTGCTTTCTTCTCAGGTCCCACCTTCTCTACCTTCTGACCCACCTTTGTTGGTTTCTCTCTGCAGAAACGGAAGGTGGAGGTGGTTTCACCAGCAACTCCAGTGCCCAGCGAGACAGCCCCGGCCTCGGTTTTTCCCCAGGTGAGTTTCCCAAACCATTTCTTGTTCCCTTTTTCTCTTCTACTCTCTGGTGGCCTTTTTCAGGCTCATCTCACAGCCATCCCTTCTTTTACTACTATATCTGCAGAATGGAGCAGCCCGTAGGGCAGTGGCAGCCCAGCCAGGACGGAAGCGAAAATCGAATTGTTTGGGCACTGATGAGGTGGGTCTGGGGAGCAACAGAAGGAGCTGGGTGAAAAGGAAGGGATGCAAGCAGGGTGGAGAATTAGTGATGAGTTTAAAAATAAAGAAGGGGTGGTAGGCGGGGCTAGTGTTGGTGGGATTAGGAGCCAGGCAGAACATGGTTCAAATGAGTCATTGGGGCTGGGTGCCATGGCTCATACCTGTAATCCCAGCACTTTGGGAGGCCAACCAAGGCGGGCAGATCACCTGAGGTCAGGAGTTCGAGACCAGCCTGACAAACATGGTGAAACCTTGTCTCTAATAAAAATACAACAATTAGCCAGGCGTAGTGGCAGGCACCTATAATCCCAGCTACTCAGAAAGCTGAGGCAGGAGAATTGCTTGAACCCCAGAGGTAGAGGTTGCAGTGAGCCAAGATCATGCCACTGTACTCCAGCCTGGGCAACGGAGTGAGACTCCATCTCAAAAACAAGGGTCATTCAGTGATCTTTTCCACATCATCAATCCCTTAGGGTTTCAGGTTTTTTATCCAGAAATTGGGGATCATGGTACCTCCCCCATAGGGTTGCTGTTAGGCTTGCAGGAAACCTGTCAAAGGGCTGTGAGCTGTGGTGTCCTGCTGAGCTGTCTCTTCTAACCTGGTATTTTCCACTGGCCCTGGGCAGGACTCCCAGGACAGCTCAGATGGAATACCATCAGCACCACGCATGACTGGCAGCCTGGTGTCTGACCGAAGCCACGACGACATCGTCACCCGGATGAAGAACATCGAGTGCATTGAGCTGGGCCGGCACCGCCTCAAGCCGTGGTACTTCTCCCCGTACCCACAGGAGCTCACCACATTGCCTGTTCTCTACCTGTGCGAGTTCTGCCTCAAGTACGGCCGTAGCCTCAAGTGTCTTCAGCGTCACTTGGTATGAGGGGTCCAGGGAAGCTGCCTTCCCAGCACTCTCCACGTTGCCCTTGTTCCTGACTGTCCTCTCTTCTCCAGACCAAGTGCGACCTACGACATCCTCCAGGCAATGAGATTTACCGAAAGGGCACCATCTCCTTCTTTGAGATTGATGGACGTAAGAACAAGGTTAGTGCCTGAGAGGCAGTGGGGCGCTGGGGTGAGTCAAATGACATCTTCTTGCTCAGGTAAACACTGACCAGTCAAGCCAGCAGATCAGTTCACCCCATTTTTATTGAGTTCCTGCTGTCTGGCAGGTGTTGGTAGCCAGGAATGAGACAGTCTCTGTTCTCTGACAGCTTAGTCCATGGGAGAGACAGACATACCAATGACGTCTTAGCTCCCAGTGTCTTAAGTGTCATGAAACAGAGGGTAGGTTAGCAGGACCCAAAGGAGGTGGTTGGCAAAGCTTCACAGAGGGTTACTTTGGAGCCTTGGTGGATGACAGTGACTGAGGCAGTTTCTCGCAGTGGTGCTGAGGAGGAGGCATGGATGCACAGAGATGGTCTTTGTGAAAGGCACAGATCATTCTGGCTGGGAGGCAAAAAAGGGAGGAAGCGGGAAGGCTCTTAACAGGGGACAGAGCTCAGGTGATGAAGATGCTGTGTTAACCACCATTCTGTAATTATTAACGTGGACCTGGGCATCCAAGTGGCAGTACCCAGCAGCAGGTGGTTAAAAAGCAATTTCTGGGCTGGGCAATTTCATGTCTATAATCCCAGCACTATGGGAGGCCGAGGTGGGTGGATCACGAGGTCGGGAGATCGAGACCATCCAAACATGGTGAAACCCCGTTTCTACTAAAAAATACAAAAAATAAGCCGGGCGTGGTGGCGGGCGCCTGTAGTCCCAGCTACTCGGGAGTCTGAGGCAGGAGAATGGCGTGAACCCGGGAGGCGGAGCTTGCAGTGAGCTGAGATCCGGCCACTGCACTCCAGCCTGGGCGACAGAGCGAGACTCCGTCTCAAAAAACAAAACAAAACAAAAAACACAACATTCTGGCCGGGCGCGGTGGCTCATGCCTATAATCCGAGCACTATGGGAGGCTGAGGCGGGCGGATCACGAGGTCAGGAAATTGAGACCATCCTGGCTAACACGGTGAAACCCCGTCTCTACTAAAAATACAAAAAATTAGCCAGGCGAGGTGGCGGGCGCCTGTAGTCCCAGCTACTCGGGAGGCTGAGGCAGGAGAATGGCATAAACCTGGGAGGCGGAGCTTGCAGTGAGCTGAGATCCGGCCACTGCACTCCAGCCTGGGTGACAGAGCGAGACTCCGTCTCAAAAAAAAAAAAAACAAAAAAAAAACACAAAAAGCAGTTTCTGGCTGGGCACAGTGGCTTATACCTGTAACCCCAGCACTTTGGGAGGCTGAGGTGGGCCAATCACTTGAGTCCAGAATTTCGAGACGCCTGGGCAACATGGAGAAACCCTGTCTCTACTAAAAATAAAAAATTTGGCCAGGCACGGTGGCTCACGCCTGCAATCCCAGCACTTTGGGAGGCCAAGGCAGGCAGATCATGAGGTCAGGAGATCGAGACCATCCTGGCTAACACGGTGAAACCCCATCTCTACTAAATATACAAAAGAATTAGCCGGGCGTGGTGGTGGGCACCTGTAGTCCCAGCTACTCGGGAGGCTGAGGCAGGAGAATGGCATGAACCCGGAAGGCGGAGCTTGCAGTGAGCTGAGATAGCGCCACTGCACTCCAGCCTGGGAGACAGAGCGAGACACTGTCTCTAAATAAACAATTAATTGTCCAGGCGCGGTGGCTCAAGCCTGTAATCCCAGCACTTTGGGAGGCCGAGACAGGTGGATCACGAGGTCAGGAGATCGAGACCATCTTGGCTAACACGGTGAAACACCATCTCTACTAAAAAATACAAAAAACTAGCCGGGGGAGTTGGCGGGCGCCTGTAATCCCAGTTACTCGGGAGGCTGAGGCAGGAGAATGGCGTGAACCCGGGAGGCGGAGCTTGCAGTGAGCTGAGATCCGGCCACTGCACTCCAGCCTGGGCGACAGAGCGAGACTCTGTCTCAAAAAAAAAAAAAAAAAAAAGGCCGGGCGCGGTGGCTCACGCCTGTAATCCCAGCACTTTGGGAGGCCGAGGCGGGCGGATCACAAGGTCAGGAGATCGAGACCACGGTGAAACCCCGTCTCTACTAAAAAAAAAAAAATACAAAAAATTAGCCGGGCGCGGTTGTGGGCGCCTGTAGTCCCAGCTACTCGGGAGGCTGAGGCAGGAGAATGGCGTGAACCCGGGAGGCGGAGCTTGCAGTGAGCCGAGATCGCGCCACTGCACTCCAGCCTGGGCGACAGAGCGAGACTCCGTCTCAAAAAAAAAAAAAAAACCCACAATTAATTAATTTAGCTGGGTGTGGTGGTGCACATCTGTAGTCCCAGGTACTCACTCAGGAGGCTGAGTTGGGAGAATCACCTGAGCCTGGGAAGTCAAGGCTGCAGTGAGCCATGACTGCATGATTGCACCACTGCACTCCAGCCTGGGCGACAGGAGTGAGACCCTGTCTCAAAAAAAAAAAAAACAAAAAACCCACAATGTCTGAAATGCAGGAGAAATCATGTGCAGAGGTAAGGTTAAGCAGCATGATTCATAATTTTGCTGGGGTAATCCCTAAGACAGTTATTTTGTTAAATTACATAGTTCCTTAACTCTGTCGTAGAGTAGCAGATCAGTTCCCAGGAGGTGTGACTGTGGATGTAGAATGTTAGGTTTTTTTTGTGTTTTTTTTTTTTGAGACGGAGTCTCACTCTGTTGCCCAGGCTGGAGTGCAGTGGCGTGATCTGGGCTCACTGCAAGCTCCGCCTCCTGGGTTCACGCCCTTCTCCTGCCTCAGCCTCCCGAGTAGCTGGGACTACAGGCGCCCGCCACCTCGCCTGGCTAATTTTTTGTATTTTTAGTAGAGACGGGGTTTCACCGTGTTAGCCAGGATGGTCTCAATTTCCTGACCTCGTGATCCGCCCGCCTCAGCCTCCCATAGTGCTCGGATTATAGGCGTGAGCCACCGCGCCCGGCAGAATGTTGTGTTTTTTGTTTTGTTTTGTTTTTTGAGACGGAGTCTCGCTCTGTCGCCCAGGCTGGAGTGCAGTGGCCGGATCTCAGCTCACTGCAAGCTCCGCCTCCCAGGTTTATGCCATTCTCCTGCCTCAGCCTCCCGAGTAGCTGGGACTACAGGCGCCTGCCACCACGCCTGGACAATTTTTTGTATTTTTTAGTAGAGACGGGGTTTCACCGTGCTAGCCAGGATGGTCTCGATCTCCTGACCTCGTGATCCGCCCGTCTCGGCCTCCCAAAGTGCTGGGATTACAGGCTTGAGCCACCGCGCCCGGCCAGAATGTTAGGTTTTTTAACAGCTAGACTCCCAAGACTGTCAGAGAGAGCTTCTCTGAGGAGCGGTGGTCGGAGTCTGACTTTGGACACATTAGTTTGTTGATTGCTGTTAAAAACATTACAGGGTGGAGTCTCCTGGCCAGGCTTAGATGGAGGTGTGCAGAGTAAGTCGGGAAACTTGCCCGACTGAGCAGGGAGGCATTCAGACACATCACACATCTGGCACACAGGCTTTTCAACACTGAGGAGCAGCCCTGCGTAAGCTGCGGGCTAGTGGAGTGGGTCAGGCCCAGCCAGGGAAGAATACTCATCACCTATCAGTCTGGGGCATAGCACAAATAGTGAAGCTCCTGGTTGACCCTGAACCACTGGCCAGGCTCAAGGCAGGATACCCAGAATGGTGACAAGCCTTTTCTCTTGCAGAGTTATTCCCAGAACCTGTGTCTTTTGGCCAAGTGTTTCCTTGACCATAAGACACTGTACTATGACACAGACCCTTTCCTCTTCTACGTCATGACGGAGTATGACTGTAAGGGCTTCCACATCGTGGGCTACTTCTCCAAGGTCAGTGCCTGTCCAGGCTGTCCCTGTGCCCTATCCTGAGCCAGGTCCCTTCCCTGACACTCACCTGCCCCCCTTTTCCAGGAGAAAGAATCGACAGAAGACTACAATGTGGCCTGCATCCTAACCCTGCCTCCCTACCAGCGCCGGGGCTACGGCAAGCTGCTGATCGAGTTCAGTGAGTATGTGTGCTGCAGCCAGGGGGTAGTGCACCCATCATCGGTGCCCCATAGGCAGATGTGCCAGGCTACCGTGATTCTCAACCGTGGCTGTGCAGCCCGGTCTCTAGGGGAGCCAGCCAGAAATAACAGTGGCACTCTCCCAGAGTTCTCTCCATTCAGGCTGACTGCCCTGCTTATCTGGGGTAGGTTCTCAGCCCCACAGTTTGCTCCTTGGCCAGGGTTCTAAGTGCCACTCAGCTTTCCCCAAATCTGACTTACATGCTCCTGCCTGGAGCCATGGGCAGGTTAGTGAGCCGCTGGTGCTCATGTATCTGGTAACCGGTGTCACATGATACAAGTCCTTGGGCAAGGACCAGTGGTTAATGTCCCCAGTTGTCGCCTGAGCCGTGCAGGCAGGTGTCCAAAATGCTGTCAACAGATACACGTAAGCATGGAATTCTCCCTTGCTCCTCGTGTCCAGTGAGGTCAGTCTCTTAAAGCCAGAAGGGACTCTGACCTTCATCACACATGAGCTCTTCAGTGCCCTCCCCAACCCTGAGGCTCCTTCTCCTTCTCAGCCTCTTCCCCATCACCCCGCATTCTATCTCACCACTCACTTGGAATAACTAAGCTCTGACCTGAGAAAAGAAGAGGAAGTTCTAGCTGTTTGCCTGGTGAAGACACAGAGGCTTTACTTGATCAAGGTTATGGTCCATTCGAGAAATGTATTGGTTAAGTGATGCCCAGATGGGGTCACATCCTCAGAACTTCTCAGCCTGGTAGCACAAGTGGATGCTTGAAGAAACTCAGTCTTGGAGCTCAGACTGCAATGGAGATGGGATGTGGGTGGGACTACCAAGGGGCTAAGGTCCATTGTGAGGGTGAGGAAGGGCTTCTAGAAGTCACAAACATCCCAGGTCCCTGGTGGGGAGAATGAAGACACTGCCCAAGAGATGTGAAGCCACTCAGGGCTGTGCAGGGCCAGGATCTCACTGGGGACTGCCTCCCAGTGCGCAGCTATCAGCAGGAGTTGGAGGGAAACAGCCATGGTGGGGGTCAGTCACCTGGCTCTCAGGAATGGTCTCCCCAACTTGGGAAGCACTTTGGTGCACCTTTTCTCCTTGCATCCTCACAACCACCCAGTCAGGCCACTCAGGTCTTAACAGCAGCTGACACTCCCAAGATCCCAGCTAGGAGGACTGATTTGACTGAGAATTCAAGCATTCTCAGGCCTGGATTAGAGACAGGAATCTGTCCCCACTTCCTTCCTTACATGCCCAGACATGGAGCCTGGGATGGCAAAGGAAAATTGGAGGCACTTTCTTCCCCTGAGCCATTTTCCCTGCATCCCCTGCCCATAAGCCTTCACTGGCCTCTGATCACCCTCGTGGTTGACTGCAGCTGCTCCTCTCAGTGCTCTCATGCCCTCCACTGTGCTCAACTCCCAGGGGAAGAGTGAATACTCGTTAGTTCTTCCTGAGGGAACTGAGGCGCAGAGAGGCGGAGGCCACAGAACTGCCAAGTGGCAGGGCCATGATGGGAACTAGGCAGCCTGCCTTGGCGACCTGTGTTTTTAAATGTTGCTTATGTTCATCTATGACCTCTTACTCACCCTCTCCTGCTCCATTGCTTTAGGCTATGAACTCTCCAAAGTGGAAGGGAAAACAGGGACCCCTGAGAAGCCCCTCTCAGACCTTGGCCTCCTATCCTATCGAAGTTACTGGTCCCAGACCATCCTGGAGATCCTGATGGGGCTGAAGTCAGAGAGCGGGGAGAGGCCACAGATCACCATCAAGTGAGCCTGGCGCTGCCTACCTGGGGGTACATGGCATGGCCTGTCTGTTCCTGGGCTTTCTCACTCTCTCCTGGGGCTCCTGGGGACAGATGAAGGTCCTCAGGGGACCTGACCTTTGCTCTCCTACAGTGAGATCAGTGAAATCACCAGCATCAAGAAGGAGGATGTCATCTCCACTCTGCAGTACCTCAATCTCATCAACTACTACAAGGTAGGGAGGCAGGCAGGGTGGAGACAGGTGTGTGGGATGCAGAGTGCAGGCCCCTGTCCGCTGGCCACTTGCTGAACCCATCTCCTCTGCCCAGGGCCAGTACATCCTCACACTGTCAGAGGACATCGTGGATGGCCATGAGCGGGCTATGCTCAAGCGGCTCCTGCGGATTGACTCCAAGTGTCTGCACTTCACTCCCAAGGACTGGAGCAAGAGGGGGAAGTGGTGACCAGGCACTGCCCACTGCAGTGCTAAGACAGCAGGACTGGGGCTGATAGCCCACCCCGCCCTCACTGCAGCTCCCACAAAGCACTCTAAGGGAGATGGGGCTGAAAAGCTCGAAAAGGAGGGGACAGGCCTGGCAGGGCCCATTGGTGCCCGGCACCAAGGCGAGCTCAGGGCTCAGGCTAACTCCAAGGTCAGCTGGCCACAGGCCCAGGCCTGCTTTGAACCAGGGATCAGAGGGAGCCAGGCAGCTGTGTACAGTGAGATGGGGGGTGGGGGAGCTCTGTACAGAGGGCTGGTGGTTGTAAAAATTTCTTTTGTAAAGTAGAAGTTGGGGGTGGGGTGGGTGCTGGCTGCAAAAAATTCTGGCTTCTCTTATCCCCATTGCCCACGGCAATAAATTGTTTCTATATGCCAGAGCCATGCAAGGTTCTTGGGGGAGAGGGGTCCATGCTGGCTTAGGGGCTCTAAGGTGCCCGGACTCACAGGTGCTGTAAAGAGCTCCTTTATTGGGGTGATGGAATCAGTGGTTCCAAAGAGCTGGTTTACTGCTGTGAAGGGATCGCAGCTTTGAATTTCAAGCTCTGGTTCTCAGTCCTCGGGCACCTGTGCGTGAATCTGCAAGAGGAGTCGCCTCTACTGTTGGACTTGTAAGGCAGGGCGGCAGGCTGGCCCCCAGACCCGGGGAAGGACCCAGCTGTTCAGAATAACCCCTTCTAGACATGGCTAGGAAGAGTGGTCGGGGAGCTACGCTTCCCACGCACTACCCAGTAGAATCCTCCAGGCTTCGTCTGCCCAATTGTGCTCCACAGCCCATCCACCCGGGGACAAGACGGAACTCCTCATCTACTCACCGCTGCCGCAAGACTGGGCCAAGTTAGGGCCCCACGCACTTTGGCATCCGGGCCAGGGATGGTCTCCAGACCCCACAAGGTGAAGTGGCTGAAGCTGGCAGTGGCTCCAATGAAGCGGTCCTGAGGAAGGGGCCTGGCTCAGCATCGGGACTACAGCTCCCGCCCGCACCCCCTTTCAACCCTATCCCTTTGCTCACAAAGTCCCGTTCCAGCGGCGACTCTTCTTGGTCGTCAGTCCCGGAATCCCGCAAGGGGTCTGGCTTCCCCATGGACACTTCCTTCTCTTCCGTCACCATCACGTATCCCACGAGGCCAGGCGGCACCGCCACCTCCTCGCCCCGTAGACAGCGGCCCCGAAATGACACTTCGAGTCCTGGAGCGGGAGGCGCAAAGAGCCTCAGGCAGGACCCACACTGGGCCCAGGACCTGAGCCCTGCGGAGCGAGCCCGGAGCTGCCCTCCCGCCACTTCCGGACGCACCACGATCCCCCGGAGCCCAGGAGATGAGGGGCGCGCGGACCGGCGCGGGGGCTGCCGGGACTGTAGTCCGGCCGCGATGCTCACCCTCGGGGCCCTGGCGGATGGCAGGCGTGAAGAAGCGCCCCACCGGGGCGGGCCCGTCCACCGCGACCTCGCAGGGCAGCAGGTGTAGTGCGACGGGGGCGGCGTCGCGCAGCGTGGCGGAGCGCAAGTGGACGCGGTGCCTCTCGATGGCCGCCTCGTCGCCGCACTCCATCCTCGCTTCTACGCGACGCAAGGGCTCGCGGGTTGACGCTGAAGCTGGCGCGGAAAGCGCGCAGGGCCTCTCAGGAAGCCCCCCGCAGAGCCTCACGGGAAGCCGCCGCGGAGCTTCACGGGAAGTGTAGTCCCCTTACCCCTAATGCTTTCCCTGGGTCAAAATCCTAGGACTCCCCTCCCCTCCCTTCCCTTCCGCGCCCCGCCCAGTCTCTCCCCTCCCCACCCCACCCCTTCCCTCCCCTTCCCTCCCCTCCCCTCCCTTCCTCCCTTCCTCCCTTCCTCCCCTCCTCCCCTCTTTCCCTTCCCTTCCCTTCCTTCCTTTCCTTCCCTTCCTTCCCTCTTTCTTTTTCTTATTTTTTATTTTTTAGAGTCTCATTCTGTCGCCCAGGCTGAAGTGCAGTGGCGCGATCTCAGCTTCACTGCAACCTACGCCTCCCGGGTTCAAGCGATTCTCCTGCCTCAGCCTCCGGAGTAGCTGGAATTACAGGCTAATTACCTAATTTTTGTATTTTTAGTAGAGACGGAGTTTTGCCATGTTGGCCAGGCTGGTCTCGAACTACTGACCTCAGGTGATCCTCCAGCCTTGGCCTCCGGAAGTGCTTGGATTACAGGCGTGAGCCACCGCGCCCAGCCAGGTTTTTTTCTTGTATTGTTTTTAATGGGACATGATCGTTGTAAAAATCTAAAACGATTCTGAACTCTTTATATTGGTTGGTAGATGGGTTCTTCATTTTTAGTTTATTAGGGACATCAACCCTTTTCTCAAATGCATTGAAAATGTTTTATCTGTGGTCTGTCTTGCAAACCTGTGTAAAGGTGATTTTTGGTGGACAAAGACTTATTTTTGTTGTTGTTTGGTTTTATAGACAAGGTCTCACTCACCTAGGCTGGAGTGCAGTGGTTTGATTGGCTAACTGCAGCCTCGACCTCCCAGGCTTAATCCATCCCCCAACCTCAGCCTCCCGTGTAGCTAGAACCACAGGCCTGCGCCACCACGCGGCTCATTTTTGTATTTTTGGTAGAGGCAGAGTTTTGCCATGTTGCCCAGGTCTTGAACTCCTGGACTCAAGCTATCTGCCCGCTTTGGCCTTCCAAATCACGCTGGAATTACAGGCGTGAGCCACTGTACCCGGGATAAAGACTTATTTTTTGTAGTCAAATTTATCAACATTTTTCAGTCTTTTAGATTTCACAATTCTCTTTTTGGTTTCTCAACTCTTCTCTAATGTTTATTTGTTCAGACACCCAACTTAGATATTATTTTTTCAAGTTCTCACATAAACACAAAACTGGAAATTTAGATTTAAATTGCGTTTAATTTATACATCCCTGGACATCTGGGAGCTGGCCTTGGTATTCTGTTGAACATAAATTTCAGAGAACATCAGCATCGGACAAGGTCACTCTGGGACCATGAGGGAGCAAGACAGAAACAGAACCTCTCCATCATCACATCTGAACGCTGGCAAAGGTGAACACTGTCCAAACCACAAAAGGCATGAAACATCCCTCTTTCTCCCACAGGAGAGTGACTGTTGTTTCCTTACCAATTACAGCACTAGCCTCCAACTAATCTTCTCTCCTGGCCAAGATTCATTAAGATAGTCCGTCATAGACATACCCCCACCTCTGACAGCATCCAAGCCAGAGAGAAGCCTGGCTTCCCTAAACCCTGACTGAAATCACTGAACATGGGCACAAATCCTCCTTTAAGTCCTTTCTAGCACCTTCTTACTGAAATGCCCCAGAGTGCAGGAGTAATATGCCCAATTTGTTCAACTGCAGATGTATTCCTGGTGGTCTTTGGCTAGAGTGGCAGATTAATTTAGAAAAAGGCTTGCTTTAGTTTTCTATCACGAAATACTTAATTCCATTTATTCACATCTCCTTGGATATCCGTACAGTTGTGAGGTTTTGTTCATATATAATAGTTTAAGTTTATTTCTTCCTAGGTTATATTAATAATTGTTTGTATTAAAAACTGAGGGGCTGGGCATGACTGGCTCACACCTGTAATTCCAGTGCTTTAGGAGGCCAAGATGGGGGAGGATTGCTTGAGACCAGGAGTTCGAGACCAGCCTGGGAAACATAGCAAGACTCCGTTTCTACAAAGAAAAAAATGTTTTAAACATGAGTGGGGCACGGCGGCATGTGCCCGTAGTCCCAGCTACTCAAGAAGCTGAGGTGGGAAGATCACTTAAGCCTAGGAGTTTGAGGCTGTTATTCGAGTCACAGTTGCACCGCTGCACACCAGCCTGGGTTACAGAAGAAGACTCTGTCTCTAAAAACCAAAATTGGGGCCGGGCGCGGTGGCTCAAGCCTGTAATGCCAGCACTTTGGGAGGCCGAGACGGGTGGATCACGAGGTCAGGAGATCGAGACCATCCTGGCTAACATGGTGAAACCCCGTCTCTACTAAAAATACAAAAAACTAGCCGGGGGAGGTGGCGGGCGCCTGTAGTCCCAGCTATTCGGGAGGCTGCAGTGGGAGAATGGCGTGAACCCGGGAGGCGGAGCTTGCAGTGAGCTGAGATCGCGCCACTGTACTCCAGCCTGGGCGACAGAGTGAGACTCCATCTCAAAAAAAAAAAAAAAAAAAAAAAAAAAAAAAAACCAAAATTGGGGCTTTTATTTTTTCATTTTATTTTCTGACTGATTTTTTTTTAATCTATAGCAGGGGGTGGCAAACTTTTTCTGTAAGGGGTCAAATAGTAAATATTTTAGGTTTTATGGACCTTATGGTCTCTGTCACAGCTACTCACCTTCACCATTCTAGCATGGAAACAGCCATAGACAGTACATACATGAATGAGCATTGTTGTGTTCCAGTAAATCTTTGCAAAAACAGACAGTGGATTGGATTTGAACCACAGGCCATATTTTTCAGACCCCTTGTCTGTAGCAAACCTGTTGATTTTTATATGTTAATTTTCAAACTAGATATCTACTGAATTCTTTTGTTCCTAATGATTTTTATTTTCTTAAGAAAATAAAATATTAGCCAGAATTAGCCACCTCTCTTTCAAATAATGATAATTTCACCTCATCATTACATCTTCTTTTTTGTTTGTTTTCATTACACCTTGTAATTTGTTTTCTTTTCTTTCCTTTTCTTTTCTTTCTTTCTTTTTTTTTTTTGAGACAGAGTCTCGCTCTGTCGCCCAGGCTGGAGTGCAGTGGCCAGATCTCAGCTCACTACAAGCTCCGCCTCCCGGGTTTACACCATTCTCCTGCCTCAGCCTCCCGAGTAGCTGGGACTACAGGCGCCCGCCACCTCGCCCGGCTAGTTTTTTGTATTTTTTAGTAGAGACGGGGTTTCACCGTGTTAGCCAGGATGGTCTCCCCACCAGCATGGTTCAAACTTCATTTACCATGGAATTTTAACGAATTCTGTAAGGTCCAAACCTTGCTGCTGGCTCTTTAGTCCAAAAAACATGACATAAATAACAGATGGGCATCATGATTAGAACATCACTGCTTTCGAAGACTAGTGGTGATTGGCTGGTCAGTGCTGGTCTGTCATTCAGCTCATGCAGACGCCAGACAAGTGTATAGTTGGGTTGCCTCCTTGTCTCTCAGTGATCAACAGATATAACATTTTATGAAATTCAATGATTGGGCCGGGCGTGGTGACTCACACCTGTAATCCCAGCGCTTTGGGAGGCCAAGGTGGATGGATCACTTGAGGTCAGGAGTTGAAGACCATCCTGGCCAACCTGGTGAAACTCCGTCTCTACTAAAAATACAAAAATTAGCCAGGCGCCCGTGGTGGTGGGCGCCTATAATCCCAGCTACTCGGAGGCTGAGGCAGGAGAATCACTTAAACCTGGGAGGCAGAGGTTGCCGTGAGCCAAGATTGTGCCACTGCACTCCAGCCTGGGTGACAGAGCGAGACTCCTTCTCAAAATAATAATAATAATAATAATAATAATAATTTTAAAAATCGGATGAATAACTGGAAGGGGGAATGGCTAACAAATATAAAAGTACAGCAAAAAAAAAATGAGGATAAGACTGGAAGTGAAATTGTATATGAAGCTGTGGCACGAACTATATTGAAAGTCTGATGAATATCATGATATAGTTTGGATGCTTATCTCCTCCAATGCTCATGTTGAAGTGTGACCCCCCCAGTGTTGGAGGTGGGGCTTAGTGGGAGGGGTTGGGCCATGGGAGTGGATCCCTCAGGAATGGCTTGGTGCCCTCTTCAAGGTAATGAGTGGTAGTAAGTTCACATGAGAACTGATTATTTAAAAGTGTGGCAGCTCCCCATCCCTCTCTCTTGCTCCCTCTCCTGCCATGTGATACACTGCTCCCCCTTTGCCCTCTGCCATGGTTGTAAGCTTCCCGAGGCCTCACCAGAAGCAGGTGCTGGAGCCATGCTTCTCGTACAGACTGTAGAACTGTGACCCAAATAAACCTCTTTTCTTTATAAATTACCTAGTCTCCAGTGTTCCTTCAGAGCAACACGAAATAAACTAATACATATAATAAACGAGGTAAAGTTGCTTCAACATATTTTTTAAATTTTTTCTTTTAATTTTTTTTTTTCTTTGTTGCCCAGGCTAGTCTTGAACTCCTGAGCTCAAGAGATCCTCCCACCTCAGCCTCCCAAAGTGCTGGGATTACAGGCATGAACCAACACGTCCAGGCTGCTTCAACATCTTTTAGTTTAAATTGCACTGGAAACAGAAGTCGTTTGTGGTTGAAATGGAATGTTTACTTCTATGTTGAACTGAAGACTGTAATTTGTTAACAATCCCCATCGGTTTGGCCAGCATTCAGGCTGAAGCATTGAAGTTAATTGCCACATTGACAGAAAACAGTAATTTCAAGGAGACTGTAGAAACTTTTACCAACGGTAAAGGGTGGTTTGTTTCATCATTTCGGAAGTTGGCATGAATTGATTAATGTGAAACTGTCAAGCACAGATGAGGATATTGCTGTGAATTCTGCAAGGATTCAGATGTCAAGGATTTTTTTTTTTTTTTTTTGGTCAGGGTCTCGTTCTGTTGCTCAAACTGTACTGAAGTGGCACGATCATGGCTCACTGCAGCCTCAAACTCCTGAGCTCAAGCAATCCTCCAGCCTCAGCCTCCCAAGTAGCTTAGATGATAGG